GTTGTGTCCATTATTCAAGAATCGAGGTAATGTGGTCGTACACATTACCTCTATTTAAATACTATTTTACGTCGAGTTTTGCTTCCACTTTACGACCAAGATTTACGACCACATAACATCCAAATGATTGGACGTAACTTTACGTCAAATCCACATCCAGAGTACAACCACTCTTTTTACGTTTGTTTTACGACCAATAAATTTAGTCGTAATAGTGAAGTCCACATTACGACCAAAACTTTATTACGACGGGCTGTTTACTACCAAACTGTTTTCGTTGTTGTGTGGTCGTAAAAGTCGATTTACTACCAAATTACCTCTATATCTGTTATGCCCGCGTTTTCTTGTAGTGATTACTGAAGTCACAGTGATACCTTCAGGTTAGAAAGAGAGCATCCACCCATACCTCTGTTTGCATCCTTTGCAATTTGAGCAATATATAACATTCTTTTGTTTCTTTTAGAATGCCACAGGAGTGGCATATGTTCTTCATGCTTGTGCTAAATTAAAAACCGATTTTGCAGGTCTTTTTTTAATGTTTGATACATGAAGAAGTAGAATGCCATTGGAACATGGAGACTCTTGATATTGTGCAAGAGGAAGGCATCGCCAGTGCTTATGGTAAAATCTTTTTCATTGTCCTTGAGTATTAGAACTTGTTTCTTCTGATAGCGATGTTACTCTGCTTTGCCATTACATGAATCTTATTTATTCTACTCAACATTACATGAATTGATATGTTCTTAGGCAGTGAATGATTGATGTTTGATGAACATATGCAACATGCAACATACTCAACATTACATGAATTGATTTATTATTTTTTTAATCTAAGGACTCCAAATTAGAGAACACCATTGGACACACAATTTAAACTACAATCCTTAACTATTCAAAAAAAAAATTAATTTTATAATGGTTAAGGACTCCAATGGTGATAACACCATTGGAGTTGCTCTAAGAGGTGGGTTATTATTATTATTATTTTGACGTCAAAAGGTTGATCTATTACTTAAGCTTGAGATGGTCTGGGAAGCCATACTGGAATAGAACAACCAACATACAAAAGATCTCGATAAAAGGATCGAGCAGATTTAGCTAAAGAATCAGAAACAACATTATGTGTCATGGGAACATAGGAGATTTTGAAATCCGGGAAGCAGATCCGCAGCGTCATAAGCTTTTCCAATTCTGTTGAGAAACTTGGCTAGTCTTGAGGATTTCTAAACATCACTATCATCTACTTGTAGTCCGTCCCAAAACTCTGACATGGTGAATGTTGAAGTATGTACTCATTGCCCACCACAGTGTTTCCCGCCAGAGTGCAAAGTAAATTCTACCCTCCTAAAATTACGCATATCCATTAGCTAACTATTTTCCATATTATCAATCCAAATACAACCACGTCCACTGAACCACATCCATTGAACTGAGTTGTAGAGATCCAAAAACATCTACCATACAAATGTTTTCCAGACTTATGGTCTAGTTTTCAACATTTATGGTTCTTTGGGATAGTGAAATAACCTATTCATTTGTTTGGAACTAGGCTTGACATCCACTCTCTACATAGCGGACTAACTCCAAAGGATCACTTAAAAGATGGGTTAAAAGTGTTCCGAAGACAAAATCAATATATGAACATAATTTGCATTGTCTAGTGTATAATTTAAATACCGAACAAAATATATGGTGAGCAGCAAAGCTATCATTAGATCAAAATAAATATCTTTCTTAACATGTATAAAATAATAAATATTTATTCTTAAATTTAAATTTATTTTGTTTATATTTTCGGTTATTATATTTATTTTAAAATAAAGGCAAAAGTACAAATGGAAATACAAAAAATATAATACGGACATATTACCTAAATTGTAATGAGAAAAACAAGAGCCAGTCATTACAGTGGACTATTTAAAGGCCCATAAAGATAACGAGATGTAACACCAAATCATACCCGTGATCTTATTACATTAAAGAAAAAAATATTATATACAGAGTAGAAGATTTGCACTTCTCTTTTCTCTTACCACCTTTGCCTTTTCGCACTTCACATGCATCATCATCCTTTAGTACTCTTTTCACGGTATGTCTGAATACAATTCCCTTTTCTTTAATTACATTTTTATCTATTTCCAGAAAAAAAAAGTATAAAGAGTGTCGAATTACATTTTTATCTATTTCCAGAAAAAAGTATAAAGAGTGTCGAATTTTAGAGACGTAAGGTATCAATCTTCCATCTTCGTGTTGTCACCACGGTAATCATTGAACACACATGCAATTTTGATTCTTTCTTCAAATATTCATTATTTCTCTCCCTCTAACCATCAAAAAAGCTTCATTTTGGTTACTTTCTGTTAGAGCTTCATGGGCTTTTTGAGTTTTGTCTGAATCAATTTTTCCCAAAAAAAAAAAGACAATGGAATCTGAGAAGACAAGTGTTGTGAGTTCCATCACAAGACCTTCATGGGCATTCCTTCTTCTTGCTTTCACCGTCTTAGCCATTCTCTCTCACCAAATCTCCTCAAATTCATTTCTCCCTCTCTTCATCACCACCACCACCACGACACGTCAGCATGACCCGGTTACCTGCTCCGGGTTTTTCCAACACGACCCGTCCCCGAAACGGATCGTCATGTCGATAACAGATTTTGGAGGAGTCGGAGACGGGAAGACGTCGAATACAGAGGCTTTCCGCCGCGCCGTACAGCATCTCCGTGGTTTTTCCGCCGAGGGTGGTGGGGTCCAGCTTAATGTCCCCAAGGGCACGTGGCTCTCCGGTAGCTTTAATCTCACCAGCAATTTCACTCTCTTCCTCGAACATGGCGCTGTCATTCTTGGATCCAAGGTACAGTAAATTCAATTCTATAGTAACATTTTTACTCCATCCTTTACACAATTATCTATACACCTAATCATTTTTCAACCAATAGAAAAATAGAATATTATATAAAACTAATAAATTTTATCTCGAAATTTTAAAACGACACTTAATTTATGACAAAAAAATAAGTCTACAATGACATATATTTTGAAACGGAGGGAGTATTTTGTTTTCTAAAACATTTTTTAAACACACTTACAACATTATATAATTTATATATGTATATATATATAAATATAATATATATACCTTCTACAATTCAATTCAACACATTCTTGGTTAAAGTGTGTTGTTAACTTGATGATGGCTATGTGAGAATCCAAAACTGGATTTGTTGTTTGCTCTTAAAGTTCTGTTGGTAAACACTCTAGTTTTGGTTAATCACTAGTGGACCCTACCCACCAAGTGTTTGAGTGGAGAATCTTGATTTGTAAATCAACAACTTTTTGTTTACACTGATCAATTTCGGATTTGCTTGTTAAATGTGTTTTTGATGTTGTCACTAGTAGAAAAAAAGGGTCTGGAAAGAAGTGAAAGATTCTTACAATAGTAAAAACTGAGTAGACAAGTTTTGTCTGAAGCATGTTGATGTACGGATTAGATCTACCAGATTACTTCTGTCGTCTCCTAATTGTGATATTAAATTAGTTTTGCTGCCATGTGCAATGATACTAAGAGTTTTTGTTTTTTGTTTATAATATTGGTTTAAGTTTGTCTGCTAGTGTTTTAGCACATTTTCATGTGTTATGTAAACTCAAAAGTCAGTTCTCTGTTACTTTCTTTGCTTTATTTGTTTACTTTTTTCAGTTTACGTGAACTTGTCACTAGCTTTGTCTGGGATCATGGTTTGATAGGATCTAGTCGAATGGCCGATAATAGAGCCATTGCCTTCTTATGGAAGAGGGAGAGAGAGACCTGGTGGTAGACATATTAGCCTCATTCATGGAGACAATCTCACCAATGTTGTCATCACTGGTACTTCATCTCACTAGCCAACGCTTCATACTATTGGGTTTTATTGAACAATTTGGCCTGCTTTATTTGTAACGGTTAGAACATCTGCAAAGTCTTACCTTAATGCTTCTTACATCTATATTTTTAAAAAAATTATTACAGGAGAGAATGGAACAATCGATGGACAGGGAAGAATGTGGTGGGAGTTATGGTGGAACAGAACATTAGTGCATACGAGAGGCCATCTCATTGAGATCAAAAACTCTCATAATATCCTCATCTCTAACCTCACTTTGCTCAACTCTCCTTTCTGGACTATCCATCCTGTTTACTGCAGGTACGACCATGATTATCCAAGGGTACTTAGGGAGATGATTAGGAGGAGAGGGGTGCTTAATTTGAAGAGAGAGAGTGTGGAAAGTGCTTAGCATTTATGCTTTGTCACAAGCGTACATATCTTTTAAATAACCTCTTCCACTTTTATTTTGCAGAAATGTTGTTATTAGAAACATGACCATTCTTGCTCCAATGAATGCTCCTAACACCGATGGTATAGACCCAGGTATAAATGCTCTATCCTGGCCTGATTGTGTTCTTCAGTATTCTAAAATCGGTGTAGGCTGCTAATCGTGTCTAAACAAAACAGTTTTTCCAGAAAGTTTTTTAAAAACTGGTCTAGGTGTTCAGAAAAATGGTGTAGACACACCTGCCTAATCAATAGTCCTTTATAAAATGCCTAACTATTTTTTGAATATTGATTTTCTTGATACAGAAACACTAATTTTGTCTTCTGTCTTGTTTTCTCTAAATAACACTCTAGACTCAAGCACCAATGTCTGCATTGAGGACTGTTATATTGAAAGCGGTGATGACCTTGTAGCTGTGAAGAGCGGGTGGGACCAATACGGAATGGCCATGGCACGTCCGAGTTCAAACATCATCATCAGACGGATCTCTGGCACTACACGAACTTGTTCGGGTGTTGGAATAGGTAGTGAGATGTCTGGTGGGATTTTCAACATATCCATTCAAGACATTCACGTCTGGGACTCGGCGGCTGGGCTCCGCATAAAAACAGATATAGGGAGAGGAGGTTACATTTCGAATATAACCATTAGTAACGTGTTCTTGGAGAAAGTGAAAGTTCCAATAAGGTTTAGTAAAGGCTCAAACGATCACCCGGATGATAAGTGGGATCCAAAAGCTATGCCGAGAGTGAAAGGTATATATATTAGCAACGTTGTGAGTGTGGACTCGAGAAAAGCACCAATGTTGCTTGGTGTGGAAGGTGCATCGTTTCAAGACATATGTTTGAGGAATGTAACGCTTCTTGGGTTGCCCGAGACAGAGAAATGGAAATGCAAGGATGTTTCAGGGTATGCTAGTGATGTTTTTCCTCTGTCATGTCCACTACTGTTGCATAAGAAAGGTTTGGTCTCTCAGTGTGTGTAGATGAGTTTTTGAGGTTCTGATTAAATGGTGTTTTAGTTAGTTTTTTAGTTGAGTTCCATGTGATGATATATGATACAGGAGGCTATGAGTTTGGGCAAGTTTTTTTGTTTGAGTGAAGATTCATGGTCCACTTTACATGATGTCATATTGGTTTTACTGTCACGATTTTTTATTCTTGTTGTGAATTTTGATTCTTTTGACGCATACTGTGTAAAGAAATATACTTTGAATTATTCAATAAAGATGTTTTCATACTCATTTTGACGGTGATTGTCTTAGAGAATCTCCAACTCCACTCTATAATTTAATGCAAAATGGAATGGAAAATGGAGTGATGAAGAAACAAAAAAATCCATTACTCCATTTATAGAGTAATCATTTTTTTGTTTCTTCTTATTCTCTCCATTTTCCACTCCATTTTGCAGTAAATTATAGAGTGGAGTTGCAGATTCTCTTAACCGTTTGTATTTCACTCGCTATAAATAAAGGCAATTGCTAACTCTAAAAATCAAAATTAATAAGCTGACCAAAATCATCCTCTTTACTCTTTTCTCTTCTTATTTTTCTTTTTCTTCTCTCTAAAAACTAATTATGGTTCATATAACCCAATAGAATAAACCTGTTATTTCAAAGAACTATATTAAATGTTTTATATCAACATGTTTAATTTAAAATATGTATTTATACAACAGTTGTAACATATCAATAATATTTTAATATATACAATTATTATTATTAACTAGTAAAACTGTTTAAAAAATATGCACCTTTCTAAAATAAAGTTTTTTAAAAGAAAAATTACTTATCTTTGTGATTGTATAAGAAAACGGTTTTATCTTTTGAGAAAATCAGTAAACTGAATTTTTTTTCTCAAAAATATTTATAGATCCTATGGAATCTGGTTAATATTATACACAACGAAATTTTCAAAAAGAAATTTGGAATTTTGTTAAGAAGATGATAGCCAAATATGAATGGTGTTGCATAGAGAGAAATACAATGAGTCCGGAGAAAACTTCTTCAGATTTCAATCTTTGTGTTATAATGTTTTTAATTTTACCTTTGTATTTGATTGTATTTCTATTGTTTTCTGTAATTCTGTTGTAATCTCACATTTTATTTAAATAAAATTATTGTTAAAAAAAACGGTTTTATGCACGTACGTCCGCAAAATTAAGCAAAGAGAAAACGAGTTATGTAAGCCCCTTTTTTAAAAGAAAAAACGAGTTATCTTTTTCCCGCACAGCCGAGACCATTCAAATGTGTGTAGCTAATGACGGTCTTAATGTAATCAACGCACTAAGGTTATCATAAATTATGCTTTCGTATACAAATTCCCATCTAGATACACAATTTCAACCTTTACAAGTTTCAATACATATTAGCAATTTGGTTATGTTTACCACTTTACCCAACGATTATGGATACACATACTAGACGTGCATCTCCTTTTGTATCAATCAGTACGAAACATCAGACATGTATTAAACTAACGTTTATGTGATACACATACATATATGTATGCACCTAAATAATATATATTAATGGATGGAAAACGAGAGTTGCAATTTGATAAATGATCCATATGAGTTTTAAGGAAGCAAAGGGCTGAATGTATATGATACATAACCTTAATGATACATACCCTTAAAATCACGGAGTTCTGATATTAGATATCTAAGAATCTAATCCCACTCCAAGAAAATCAAAGAAAGGAACATCTCTCTTTTCACCATGATCTATCATGGATGTTTCATCTTCTCCTGATGAGTTCGTCTCATAATCTGGTGTAGCTGGCTGATGATTCACCATCTCGTTCCACTTTCCCCTCTCAAGATCAAATTTCTGGTGTACATTCGAGAATGATGAATATCCAAAATCATTACTCCTAGGTGCTGAAGCAAAAATGTAAGGCCAAAGAAGACTAGAGGTAGGGCTCCGAAAATCATAGCCACTTTGGTTGAACGGATAAGTGGCTGTTGGAGATGAACCTTCATGTTTGTGCCTTCTGAGGACATGGTAGTGGTTCTTTACAGCGTTATCAGTTCTCCCGGTGAACATCCTGGCTATGTAGGCCCAACGATTCCCATGGATCCGATGTGCTGCGACAATCATCTCTTCTTCTTCCTTAGTGAAAGGTTCCTTGTTGATGTATGGGGAAAGATGATTGCACCATCTTAATCTACAGCTGTTCCCTATGAATCCATATCACTCAAATTAACTATAAAGACACATTGTTCTAATACAATCGCTTCTTTTATATGTGTATAATTTATGAGAAAGATTTTTTTTTGTTTTTGAACACATATGAGAAAGATTAATAAATGAATATATATGCCTGTTTTTCCAGAGAAGTTTAGAGCAATGGTGTTCCAGTCCCGGGGACCAATTTGTCCCACGAGTTGCTTGAGCTTGTGGTCTTCGGAAGGGGTCCAGCGACTCTTCTTATTGTCAAAACTTTTGCTTCCTCTAGACATTTTGATGGTTTCTATCTCCATCTCCACCTACATAAAACGGAACAATTGGTGAAGAAAGAGAGATAAGATAGATTAGTCTGAGGTGAAATTATTTAAAAGGATGAAAATCAAGACAAAGAAGGGAAAATAAATCAACACTATAATAATACAAGCGTCTCTCTAGGAAATAACACCTCAAATTTTAAAAGTTTTCAAATGTTGACACGTTAACAAATTTAGTGAGAAAATTAGGAAACGAATCAAAAAAAAATCATTTGTACAACTTTAATCAAATTTAAATGTCATATTTATGGTGTTGAAAAAACTTGTATAGATTCATGTTTATGTTTCTTCGTCTTTGAAATTATAATTTACTTCTTCTACGAAAATAATTTTTTTATCTTTTTTTTTTGATAAAAGTAATTTAAGAAACTGTATACATTTAAATCTATTCTATTAAAATAGAATTCACAACTTCATTGCATGTGTGATTTTTAAGTTGGATCATCCCTTAAAAATTTACTTAATTGAATTTTTTCATAAACTTTTCAAGAAAAATCGAATAGATATTCCTATATTTTCTATGAATAAAATATTTTCATATATATTTTTATTAAAAATATAAATATAATTTATTGTTCATTCAAGCAGACATTTTTAAATATTTAATTACTTTTATTTATTCAAAATATCAGTGTATATTCGGTTTATCACTTAAACAAACCTTTTAAATATTTAATTATTTCGTAATTATTTAAAATATAAATTTATATTTCATTTTGTACTTAAATAAACCTTTTAAGTATCTAATTAATTTTGTAATTATATTAATCTGATGTAAAATTTGTATTAAATCTGATATTAATTTAACATGATATTTTCAATTAAATCTCTCATTAGGATTTGTTAATTTAGAAATTTGTACCACACTGTTGAAAATATGTTATCAATATAATGATCAGTTTACAAATACTATTTTGAAAGTGCATTCAGTTTCTGTTATTAAATATAGCGGCCAGTTTATTTTTATTTTTTAATAATAGAAGTATATGGCTGCTTTGTTTACAAAAAAATACATAATCAAGATTTTACATAGATCATATCCATATATTATTCTTTATGTAACTGTTTTTATTTATTTTATCTTGTGTAATTTTGAAAGTGCAATAGGTATGTTCCAATTTATGCCATTAACATAAACACAGATGAATGATTGGAAAAATATATTTCATGTGAATATTTTTATTTCCAGTGTGTTTATTATCAAATTTAGTTGTAGGTTTAAGTGTTAATTATATAACACGATGTATGATATATGAACAATTGCAAATAAAAGTAAAACATTGAAACAACTAGGAGTTTCTAGGTCGAAAAATCTAAATCAATCAATAGACAACATAAGAAAGGAGAGAGGAGAGATCCCCAACTTCTTTTGTTATTACCCATGTGCTATGACAAAAAAAGAAGAAGAACCACTCACACTTTGCATGATTCCAATCAATTCTGATATTCAAACGCATATACTAGTCTCCAAATTTGAACAAGAATAAGAATTAAACATTTATAATTCCACTCGAATACACAAACTAATCCCTATATCAGAAGGTAATCAGTTCTTAACTACCAGTAATACAAAATTATAAACCATCAAAATTATTGGCTATCGACCGTACCAGGTGCGGATCCACATATAGAGTAGGGGGTCAGTTGATCTCGGTTAATAATGATAAATTAAAATTGTAAGCTTAAATCAATTGACCGCAATGGCACATTTGGTGTAGTTGTCCGCTACCGACCCTCCCTCCCCTAATCTTGCGTTCAAGTCCACTCAATGACACCATTACTTAAATTATCTCTTTTTAAAATTGTTTCTTTTTTTTCTTTCTTTTCATACGTTAAGTTGGGTTTTCTCCTTACAAAAAATGATTTCCTTATTAAAACGATAAATTTAATACAATTCAGTTTGAAGCATTTCTTAAATATTTCATATTTTCTTTTTCCACCAAAATTCAAAATTTCTTGTTCTCTTCATTTGTTTCACTTTTTGCAGATATGTTTCCATAAAAAATTTTTTCTCTTCACCAAGATTAAAAACTACTAAATTCTTCATTGCCATTATCGTTTTAAGTTTTGTATAATTTTTTGGATACGCAATTTTAGATATATAAAACTAAATACATACATATATATTAATAATTTAGAACAATGTATTTTGTGTTCTATTATTTTTCTTATACGATTGTATATAGCACCAGAAAATATCAAATTACCCATAATGTATCTATATATAATTTTTAACAATATATATTAAATATTAAAATATATTATTCTTGTATTTAATTTATGACCTCAGTTATATTATTTTCTGGATCCGATTAATTTATGATCCTGTTATATTATTTTCTGAATCCACCACTGGATCGTTGTTATATTATATACACGTTGCTTCTCTGTTTTCTTTTTTTTTTGGGTGTAAATGTTTTTTTTTTTTTTTTTTTTTTTTTGGGTGTAAATGTTAAATTGCTGTTGTGTGTTTGATATCAAAATTTTCACATTCTTGGTTTTCCATCACAGCAATAGACAGTAACAGCTTCTTTTTTTTTTTTGCTAAAACAGTAACAGCTTTACAAAAAGTATTTCACTTTCTGTAAATTTTTTTTGTAATTGATCTTTCCCTTCTTAGCAAGAAATGAAACCATAGATCTTGGTGGTTTCACAGTTCCAAAAAGGATCATCTTTTAGTATAAAGATATTTACACAGTGGACTGAAGCAGTACATCAAAACTGACGAAGATACTAAACAAAAAAAACAAAAGGTTTCTAGTTAAAAAGGAGCAGAAGCAATATCCCAACCATTAGGATCAAGAAAGATTAATCTCTCATCTTCTTCATCATAATCCTTCAAATCTAGACTTCTTCCTCTTTTCTCGTCATCAGCTCTTAACCCCTCTTGCGTCTCCTGCACATTTTTTTAGTTCCATTAATACATACAACAAATTAATTAAAACACAAAAAAAATTAAGAAAATCTAAACAGTACCTTTGTGAAAATATCTAATGCTTCCTGAAAGGTCTTTGTTTTTATCACGTATAATGCTTCCTCTCGAGCATTTTCTATTTGATCGAGATGCAATGTCATGGGCTCTGTCTCTATCGACGACTTCCTTTGTAACATCTCCATTCTCTTGCCTACTTCCATTTCAGACTTACTTAGTCTCAAGATATTAGATTGCAAGATGAAACTGTTAACTCAAGTTTTGGTATTATATAAAGAGTGGATATATTTTATTCAACTGAATCTTTTTTTTTTTTTGATAAGTAAGAACTGAATCCTTTGTGAATAATATCTCATGTATATATAGTACTACGACGTGGGAACGTAAGCGAGAGATATTATACGTTGTGTCACGCAACGTGGCATGGTGTGGCAGGTTTAGGCGGTGATTTGGGACACGTGACATGTCAAGAATGGTGGTGGCCATGCACGTGTAGGTTTGGTAATGAACAGTAGTCAAGACTGGAATGGAATTTCGATTGCATGAAGACTGTAGTGTAGATAACGTAAACGAGAGAGTTCGACTTCTTCTCCACGATTTTTTTTTTTACTTTTGATTATAATATTGTTTTAAGTGGCGGTTGGTCGGCGCAGTACTGAGATATTTTCTTGGAATGTATATGAGTACGTGGAAGTTTTGAAATATTATTTTACAGGGACATTACGGCGATCCACTTTGGACACAATTTTATTTTGAACCTACTCAATGGTGTTTTCAAATAATTTATCAAGCATGTAACAATCAAACTAATTAAAATTCAGTTAGCAAGGATAAGGAAGACTACTTGCAAAGGAAGAAAGAGTTTCTTCAATAATCAAAATAGATAAGAAAGCCTTTGTGCTTGTATGTCTTTTGTATCCTTTTGCATTTTATTAAGAAAGCCAGCTTACAAAAAAAAAAAAAAATAGATAAGAAGAGTGCTTTACAAGTAAATTGCAATTTTATGAACATATACAACGAAAGCTAAGTAAGACATTCTCCCTATGAAAAGTTTAAATTGTTTCACAAAGCAGTGATTCCAGAAGAGTCGCCTCTTCCTCTTCCTCATGAAACACCAATTATCAGATTCAATATCACCTTTTTTTCTTAATGGGAATATTCTGAGTGACCGATGCGTATTCCGGCCGATAACGTAGACTGATACGGATACTCGTCGTTAGTCTGGATCCATTTTGATGGATGACAGAATATACCAGATTATTAAAAATATATATATATTCTGTACGTACCAAGGCATATTCAACTCAGTATCCAGATGTTTGTTTATTGTCTAGAAGCGCACTCGAAAGTCGAAACACTTGAGAGTTTGGTCGTACAATATGCTCTGATGGTCGAAATTAGTAAAATTGGCTCTCCACAAGTCCAACAAACAAAAACATACTCCCTACATTTCTTAAAGATATATATTTTAAAATGAAAAAGTTATTTTTAAAAGATTCAATTTTTTACATTTTCAATACATGTTTTGTTAGTTAATTGTAAATTTCAAAAAAATTAATTGCACTAATTGTTTTTTTATTGATTTAAAATTAGGGAAAGAAGATGAAAAAAAAAATCTATGTAAATTTATTGTGTGTTATTAAAAAATGTGAAAAAACTAGAATATGAATTTTTTTTAGAAACAGAGAGTAATAAATGCTGGTGGAAATAAATTCGAACCGGATCTATATTATAGATTTGACCGAACCGGACCGAAGACTTAGAGATGGGTACGTGATCATATTGGGCCACTAAAGAAAGTAGTCCATTTGATTACAGGGATGCGCAAATAACCCAACCCAACCCAACCCTGTCCTGTCCTATTTTGTTTTTCGCTAAAACAGAAGAGGAGGAAGTTTGGGAAGGTTCGTGACGGCAGGAAGAAATCTGGAGATGGCGTTGCGGAAGCTAGTGTCCTCCGTTGCTAAAGTGATCGAAACGGTATTTGCAGATCTCTTTTTTTTTTTAACAACTATTTTATTTATATAAAATGTCAAATTACAATAAAAATAACTTTATTTTTTTATTTTTTGGTTTAAAGAGTTTCGTATTGATTGCGTTGGATTCTGCAGAAGCAGCCTTTGCAGAAGGTTAGGGTTGAACAAATGTCCTCGACCATGAAACGTGTGTGGGAAGAAGAGGTCAGCCAGAACAAACTCGGTGTTTCCCTGTTACTAGCCGCTGCAGGTCTGGTCGGTCACAAAAAGAGCGGTATGTTGATTTTTTTGAATTAAATGCTTTGAAATTTTCCAATCTTTTTTTTTTTTATGTAAAAATCTCCCTGATCATCATCGAAAGGCTCTTGTTTTGTCTTTTCTAGAGTATGACGATGTGAAAAAATTGAGAGCACAGCTCCTTGAGATATTTGCGGATATTGAGATCGTGATGCTGCGTTTCGCTGCAAAGTCGGAAGCTCTTAAATCTACCAAGGCGGAGGTAATGAAGCTGAAGAGAGAAATTTGGTTATCTAAGGAAACATGATGATGATGATGATGATTACAACAACAATCTCTGCTCCTCTTCTTGCTTCATGTTTACATTTTATGCTTTGCGTGGGGAGGGGGGGGGGGTTATGTATGAACCACGTCCCTAAACTTTGAACTAACTAATAAGATAAATAAATTTAATCAGTACCTTTTTTTCATTTCTAAAGAATACGTTCTTTAGAATGAGGAAACAAGACAGAAAATGTCTGGTTTAAAAATTAAATTTATTAGAGGGAGACGAAGCTTTCACCACAAGTTTCAAACCCTATTAGAGGTCGGTTCGATCTGGATTATGGCCTTTGAGCAGGAACTGGTATTGGGGAGATTTGCCCCACTTGTAACCTCTGGAGTAAGAGTAAAAGGTGGCTGCTCATTGTCTCCTCGATTGCCCTTGACACCTTCAACACTGTTGCAGGCTGGAACAGAAGAAAAAATGTGGAGACAGTTTCTCAATCGTTCAAGCCTCTAGGCAACTAAATCATAAGCACGTATCTTGTTTCCAGCAGCAGTTTATGTCACTCATGAGACATGGCGTAAGGGCAATTACGTAAGCATGTTCAGTGGAATTGAGGATTCAAATATGGGGAAGGAATTAAGAGAAGAAACATGCATCTCAGAAAGAGTACAAAAGGCGTAGTCCAACGTACAAAACATAACACAAACACAATTAAAAAATAATAACACAAAATTAAAAAAAAAAAAAAAAATTATTAGGTAGGTCGGTCTACTCAGAGACCTTAGACTTGGTTCTCAACAGTTGCTCCTCTAGCCTAGCATGGGACTGCACCAGACTTGACAAAGCCTTACTCATCCCATCAACGTTTTCTTCATGTAATCGTTTAACTAACCGAGCTGACTGAAACATGACAAATTAATTAATTAATCACTGGTGCAGTGTTGTTGTCATAAAAACTGTTTTTTTACCTGAATCATGTGAGCCAAATGCTCTGTACTTTTTTCGGGAGGGTTGCTTCGAGGTCTTCGTGGTTGAGTTTCTGGATCGGCTGGGGAGTACAAATAGTACCCTGAGATGGAAAAGAGGAATTTGACTACTCACAGGACAAACACTAAATTCTTGAAACAAAGAGAGACCATACCAACCAAGCGCTCGTAGCTTGGTGGTAAAGGAGGTACAGCTGTACTGTCCGCCAACCAGATTCGAGCCTTGGCCACAACGGATTTAACATTCCTTCCCTTGGGGCGCTGGATCCCTTTCGCAGATAGTTGGGAATGTTGGATCCCTTTCGGAGATAGTTGGGAATGTGGCTGTCCAGATACCAGAGTTATCAAAAAAAAAAAAAAGGAGACCATACCAAGATTGTATCCAGAGCACGCAATTATCCCTCTGACGACAACTGTCCGCAGCAAGTTTAAATCCGCAGCTTGCTCCTTGGTGGTCGCATCTAGACACAGATGTAAAACAATTGTGTGTGACTGTGTGTGAGAGAGAGAGAGAGAGAGAGAGAGAGGAGGAACCTTTGACACTCAGGGAAGAGCAGCTGCGAGATCGGAGATACACCAATCTCCCACAGTACTGCAGAATCGTTAAAGACAGATTAATACCAACAAGGAGAAGAAGAAGAAATCAGAAATCAGATGAACAAACCTTGGCAAGGAAGGATCCACGCATCATCTTCTTCTTCTTCGATTGATTTGGGAATTAGGGTTCGCTTTGTTTGCCTCTTCAAAGCAAAGCAAAATTTGAATTACATGAATACTGCTGAGGAGGGAGCGAAAATAATTTAGGTTCGCTTACACCAAAATAAAAACAAAGGAATTCAGGGTTGTCATCGAGCTCTTAAGAGTTTATATATAGGTTCGCTTACACCAAAATTTTCCAATATATTATTTAGTAGATATTTGCCCGCGCAATAGCGCGGGTTGGCTAATTCTTTTTAAACATGTTGCAAAACAATAGATTTGTGAAGATTCGACAAATAAAATTTTCCCTGTTATATTAAAAAAAAATAAGCATGTTGCAAAACAATAAATTTCAGTAATTTATAAATAGATTTATACATCGAATAGATTTCAATAGTTAATCTTCTTAATTTACAAATAGATTTATACATCAATCCAGATTTAAGCATGTTGCAAAACAATAGATTTCAGTTTTATAAATTATTATGTATATAATAGATTCGATATGCTCTGTTATATTAAAAAAAAATAGATTTGTGAAGCTCAGACCATAAGACACATATTTGTAAATACCACGTTGCCTCATCAAAGTTGTTGATACTGTTTTTCCCCCCTGTAGAGTGTTAGGTTTTTATTGTCTTTCCATCTTCTGAAAGCTGCATCACAGTAATATTATTAACTGATGGAATTTCGTCGAGTATGTAAAGGTTATAAAAAATAGAGATTTTCAAATAAAACATAAGAAAGAGAAGAGAAAAAAAAATACCACTTATTTTCAGATTATGGATGGTTCTATTCTTGTATTCCGTTTGTTGAATAGAAAAATTCTTCATTTGTTTTGGCCTTTTGCTGGATTGTAGATTGACCCAATAATACTTTGTTCTTGTTAAAGAGAGTTAGTCTTGTCTTCTTCCCTCCTGTTTTTATTGGAGAGGTATACACTTACACAAAAACGTTTTATTGCGCTTCCTCTGTCTCAGATTTACATATTTGGAGAAAAAAAAATATTTAAACCTGAGTTCTTCTAAGACAAACTTTGTATCTGAGCGAAGTTTCATATACAACTTCTGTCGTGGAAAAAGTAGAGAGAATAGTGAGATCCTGAAAACTGAAAAGCAAAAAAACAATATGAGATGATATACCAAATACTAATTTATCTTTGAGAAGAAACATTGTGTGGATTTGAGTAAAGAAAGAACATAGAATGACATCGCCAAAATATAAATAATGGAATGATGGTAGTTATAAAAGATTGATATGAATGGTGATCGTGGAGTGTGGCCAAGAAGAACCGTTGGAAGAGATTACGTGATTGGATTGTTAATGATCGTATATTACTCTTCACTTTTTTGACTTTTTATTTTTCTTTTATTATTTTTTACATAATTTGTATTTTTTGAAATATAAAATATGATCCATGTGTCGAAATCTGATTTGCCAGGCGACTTGCGCTTTAGTATATAGAGGATATATAATAAATTGTACTTATAATTAAAAATAAAGAAATAAAATGTTAAATTAAATAGAATAAATAACGATTGACAAAATCTTTGTAGTTGATGTAAGTAAGAGTTTCATAAGTAATACTAATAATGAACAATTTTTTTTATAAAATATAGATTTTCTATTTTTTAATAGAATCCTCATTTTAATTTTTGTATAAATAATTTATATAATAATTACTGTAATATTTTAATCTATAGTTTTATATTTTCTACTTTCAAAATATTGGTAGAAAATAATCACTTTCAAAATTTGAAAATTAAGTATATAAAATGAAATGACTTTTATTTAAATTTAAAAATAATATTATATAAATTTAAGCTTGTATACATTTTATTGTTAGGAATAATGTTTATTTATTTTATTCATAAAATTGATGATATTAATTAATCTTTGCCATCAATGTTTTCAATACGAAACCGAACATTTACTTGACAATGTAGTTAGGTTAATGGCCACACCGGTCCAACTGGATTATAAATTTAATTTAATTTTAAGTTAAGTATCTATATATATGTATAACTATAAAATTATTCTATAACACTTTTTATCATTGTTTGAAACTAAAATGATATGGAAATAAAATGAAAATTTCAAAATTTAATATAAAATATAATGAAAAATAATTTATTTTAACAAAAATTAAAAAAAGTACATGTTTATGTGAAAGTATTTTAAAATTTTGCATTTTTTAACTTGAATTTGAAAAAAAAATCAGGGTTTTATATCAAACTGGACCATCGGTTTTAGCGAGTGACCGGTTCTTAAATCGAATTTGTTGATTTTTAGCACAATTCAAAATTGTTTAAAACAGAGAGAGTCATGATCTAACCAGCCGATTTCAGGTTTTAAAACAATTTTTGTCACAGAGCATCGCTTTTAATAACAAACAACAAAATCATTTTAGGAGACTTGTTTTTATTATGAACTTATGTCAAAAACCATATACATATTTAACTGAAGTTGTTATTTATTGTTTAACCATTTAAAAATAATAATTGCCATCTTATTTTTTTTTTGTTTTCAAGTTTCCAAAGACTATGCAATATGAATCAAATTGTATGCATGGAATAGATCAAAATAAAACTTTATAACAAAGACATAGAAGTTTGTGTAACCATCATAATTATATATTTAAGAAAATATAGTCATTTGAACTTGAGAAAATGAATTTTTTTTTTATTTTTTTTAAAAAATGCTAACACTGCATTTTCAATTCTGCTATGTTATCGACATCCATCATAGATACCCCTCTACAATAGCATTTTTTAAATACTATAATATATACAATGGCAATATTAGAATGATATTTATTAACTTAACTATAACACTACATTTTGCTATAAATTGATTCGATTTACATATTCGAACAATCCCTTAGTTATTATTTGAGAAGTGATTTTGGCACTTGTCATCACCACATTAATTACAAAAGAAAAAGGATAACATGACATACTAACAAATATGACATGGGTTGATGCTAATTATGATATGAACATTTACATTAATTATTGTATTATATTTTTGGTAAGTTTCTTTTGCTAATTGATTTAGCCTCGCTAGAGAGGAATGAATGAGAGACAAGCTCTACTAGCTTGATTCGATCAACATGTTTTGACCTCTAATCAACACCTCAGCTCCATTGGAAACTTCAGCTGCTTTGGCAGTAGCAATGCCTCCTCAAATTCATCATAACTCTAGTCCCATACATTTTTTTGGGGGGAAAATTGTTTTTTTTTTTGGTCTAAAAAACAAGGACATTATTCCTTTAGACTTATTTCTATTTTGTACTATTTTTGACTTCTAATGTCCTTAAACATTAAATCAAGTCTTGTTAACACGGACATAAGTTATTACAAACGAAGTTCAACAACACATACTTAAACGATTAAGAGACACTGGACAAACTACTCTCAACTAAAACTAGGACCAATACTTATTAAATTAAGAGACTTCCAAATCCCACCGACCAGGTGAAACTGTTGTTAAAGTGCTCAGATTAACCTCCACATGGGTCGCAATGTTTGGTTTCTTGCTACAAGCTTCCAGAATTAGATGGTTTAAAACCATGGTGTTGCTCAAATCAGTGATTGGAGCTTGGATTCCATGGAGAATACCCTTTTTCACTAATTGATTGAGCCTCTCCAAAAAGGAATGAATGAGAGACAAGCTCTTCTAGCTTGATTCGATCAACATGTTTTGACCTTTAATCAACACCTCAGCTCCATTGTAAACTTCAGCTGCTTTGGCAGTAGCAGTTCTCACTCCTTCCTGCTGGCGAGATGAAAAACAAAATCTTCTCCTCAAATTCATCATAACCCTAGCCCCAGACATTTTTTTGGGGAAATTTGTTTTTTTTTTGTCTAAAAAACAAGGACATTATTTTTTTAGACTTATTTCTATTTTGTCCTATTTTTGCCTCTAATGCCTTAAACATTAAATCAAGTCTTGTTAACACGGACATAAGTTATTACAAACGAAGTTTAACAACACATACTTAAACGATTAAGAGACACTGGACAAACTACTCTCAGCTAAAACTATGACCAATACTTATTTAACTAAGAGACTTTCAAATTCCAGCAACCAGGTGAAACTGTTGTTAAAGTGAGCAGATTAGCCTCCACATGAGTCGCAATGTTTGGTTTCATCCTACAGGCTTCCAGAACCACATGGTTTAAAACCATGGTGTTGCTCAAATCATTGATTGGAGCTTGGATTCCATGGAGAATAGCCTATTTCATTAATTGACTGAGTCTCGCCATAGAGAAATGAAAGAGAGACAAGCTCTTCTTGCTTGATTTGATCAACATGTTTGGAGCTCTAATCAACACCTCAGCTCCATTGGAAACTTCAGCTGCTTTGGCAGTAGCAGCTCTCACTCCTTCCTGCTGGCGAGATGAAGAACAAAAGCCCCTCCTCAAATTCATCATAACTCTAGCCCCACACATTTTTTTTGGGGGGAAAATTGTTTGTTTGGTCTAAAAAAACAAGGACATTATTCCTTTAGACTTATTTCTATTTTGTATTATTTTTGCCTCTAATGTCTTTAACCATTTTCGAAAGTAAATCAAATAAATAGTTTTATGAACAAAAAAAATTCAAAAATATAGTAACTACTGATGAAATACCTATACCAATTTATTGGTAGTTTTCAAGTTTTAAAAATGTTAAAATCATAATTTTATCTTTTGTTCTACAGATATTAGAATTGACATTATAAGAAGTAGAATATGAAATTCATTTTTATGATAAAATAAACTATATTCAGAATACATGCTCTACGTAAATAATACTAATTCAAAATTATATGGAATACCCATTCTGCGTTTAACATATACCTTTAAAATCAATATAAATTATTTGCAGTAGCTATTTATATTGGATTATGTTTTCTTCCACCTCTTAGCTCCTATGTTTTCTAGTCTCAAATTTTTATTATATTCACTGTAATCAGGAAAATAAGTCATAATTACTTCCAAATTTTTGTCTTGTTTTTGGTATTCTTTTACACAAGAAAATAAATTTAATTTCTTGAGTCTATGTTCTCTCTCTCTTTTTATTTATTTGATCTGACCAAACCCAACCAAATACTTTTAGAACCTCTTCATTTTGGAATCTCCTGGTTTTATCATTAGCTATTTTTCATAACAATTTTCATTTCAAATTCATAGTAATATCAAAAGATAACATGCAAATTTACTACTAGTCAAAAATGATGGATTACAAAACTAATTTAGTATATAAATGTCTTAATTATTTTTGAGCATTTTGGATATTAAATCAAAACTAATTAAGTATATAAATTGTGATTCCGGTATTTTTGGGTACTATTGGTTTAGGTCAGGTTCGGTTCTTCAAATACTAAAATTTTTAAGTTTTTCGGGTTCAAATATTTTGCCAAGCCCTAGATTTAACCAAACTGAACCATAGAATTTAGACCTTTTTAATTCCGAAGAGACTCTACTCAACTCCAAGTTGTAATAATGAATATTCAAGTTTTGATGTTTGCAAGTGTGGTTCATTAAATAAACGCAATTTTTGTGTGTGTATCTTAGGGTCATTATAAGTAAATTAGGTTTTTCCTTCATCGTACCTAGCATACATGCACGTCTATAGTGTGGTGATAACGGAAGCATGGATTAAGCTGATGTTGATGTTGCATGATTGTCTCTTCATGTTGTGACCATTGATGCAAACAGTTGTTTCTGTCAATGCTTATATAACAAATTTGGATTAATCCTTGAGAGCTAGAGAAAGCAAGAAACTAGCACATCCAAACCTAATCAAAATACAATATTAATATGAGACTTCTGTGACCGTGTGATATGTTTGGAATTTATCCAAAATATAAAAGTAAACAATTTTTGACCAAAAATTAAACAATTAGACCTTTATTTGAACAAAACAAAACAATTAGACCTTAATTTTCAGTTTGAAATTATATCCTCATTTCCTTGTTTAATTTCTTTAAATATCTGTTTTCCTAGATAACGTGTACCTGCAATAAAAAAAAAGAAATCTGTTAACTCGTGAAATTAAGATGATAGATACCATCAACCTACTACTTTTGTTGACCAAACTTGTTTCTAAAGAAAGAAAGCAAAAGACAGAACAAAGACAAAGACTCTCATCATCTCTAGTCTTTTTTTTTTCCCTCTCTGTCTCTTGCTTGGTGATGATCTTGAATCAAGAATCATGACCATCCTTCACAGATCTCTGTCGGACGATATGACAACCAACCCGTCCTGTGAATCTTTGACCGATTGCATCGAAGAGTTGAGAGAATCAGGATCTTGTTCATCCACTTGTCTTAACTTCTGTCTTTCCATCTGCAAGATCGTCTCTGCTCCACCTCCAGCGATTCACCAGGGCCTGGATCATAGCATAAAGAAGATCATAATCATCACGGCTTGCTCTATCATCACAACTCTCTTTCTCCTTACTCTACTCGTTCTCTGTTTCAAGTGGCACAACATGAGGAGGAGATCAACAGCGTTATCAAGAAGCATAGATGAAGCTAGGAGTTGGGATTTTGATGGACCGGTTATTGTAGATCATCCGGTTTGGCATATCAGAACCGTTGGTTTGAATCCAACGGTTATAAGTTCGATCAAAGTGTGTAAGTATAGTGAAAAAGATGGTGTTGTGGAAGGAACTGATTGTTCGGTTTGTTTAAGTGAGTTTGAAGAAGATGAGATGCTTAGATTGTTACCAAAGTGTAGACATGCTTTTCATCTCTCTTGTATTGATACTTGGCTTAGATCACACACCAATTGTCCTCTTTGTCGTGCACCTATTGTAAATGATGATGATGGAGATGATATAGAGGAGACACTTGTGAGTATAAATGTAGATATCGATGAAGAAACCGAGAGAGATGATGAGGAAGAAGCTGATGGGTTTGTTGGTATAGATATTAGAGATGAGGAAGCAGATAAGTCACAGGAGAGAGTGAGAAGATCAGTGTCATTGGATTCGTTATCGGGTTTAAGGGTAAGTGAAGTTGTTGTTGCTGGTAGAGGGGAAGAGAAGGTGAAGAGAGGTAATGTTGTTGGAACTTCTATTGTTGGGAGGTCAAGTTTCTTGAAGAGATCTATCTCTGACATTGGTAAGTAGTAGGAGCTCTATACATGAACAAAAGAAGTAAGTTTCTTGAAGATACTATAAGCTTGAGTTCTTGTAGCCAAGATGGGGATCACATAAATTATATGTATTAAGTTGACACAAAGAAGAATATGACTGTGCATTTTTGTTGTTTATAAAGCTGCTACTCTTGTACTCAAGTGAAAGAGTTGTCACAGCTTTTGTTTTGCCATATAAATTCACTAGGTTGTATATTAAGTTGTTAAGTATAAGATACACCAAAAGTTTCATTTTGATTGCTACTCTGTTTATCACCTAATTCTATCAATAGTATTATCCATCAAGGGAGCTAGTAAACACTTTTGACCCAAAAAATCTATTAGTATCTCTCTGCACAGATATTTAAATAGTTTTTTTTCCTGAAATAAAATATTTGAATAACTATTTTATAAAATTATGATTAGTAATATATGGGATATGTGATATGTCCCTTCAAATTAATTGTAACTTGGTTAATAATTATAAAACTTTTAATATAAAATGTATTTTTTCTCGGCTCATTTTTAATAAAATAATCCATAAAAACCAGAAATTACCCAAAGTAAACTGAGATAAATCTAGAATAAACCGAAATAAATCAAATTTTCAAATATTTCTCGACGAAATCGGTTATTTTTGACAAAATCATAATTTCGAAATTAATCGATTTCTAAATCAAACCGAACCGATAAATAAATTGGTTATTTACGGATATTTTTTTCTGACGCACGGTTAACTGAAAACCGAAAAATCGGTTCGGTTAGGTTTCGGAAAACCGAATTTGTTTTTATCATTGGTTTGAGAAGCCCAAAAGGTAATATACGAACATAGTGACACGACAGAAAAATCGACTAAAGCCCAAGACATTGACTAAAATCAACGGTGGGGTCCACAAGTGACACGACACACACAAAAAAACTTCGGTTTCTCCGTCTTTGTCGGAGAATTGCATTCACATCCACTTCTTGCAAAAAAAAAAAAAAACTTCAAAGAGAGAGAGAGATGAATGCTCTTGAGATGCTTTGTCCCTTGTTATCATCCCATATTCGAAATACCAAACTTTCCATTAATGGCATCGAACTTCTCCATCTCCCATGATCCTTCTTCCTCCACGTCTCTCCTTTCTCTCCACACCCAAAACTCCGTACGTGTCAACTCTCTCCCTTCTCTCTCTCTCTCTCTCTCTTGTAATTTGATAGTTAGGTTCGTTTATACTGTCGAATTTTGATTCAGATCTTCCCCTCAAAGGATAAAGTAAAGCACTTTGAGAGAACCCAGTTGAAAATTCACTCTCTTTTCAGGTAATTTTCGAGATTTCGTGACTTTAAAAGGCAAAAACCTCTGTTTTTGATGCAAAAGCCTCTGTTTTTGATGCAAAAGCCTCTGTTTTTGATGCAAAAGCCTCTGTTTTGATGCAAAGGCCTCTGTTTTTGATGCAAAAGCCTCTGTTTTGATGCAAAAGCCTCTGTTTTGAGTCTGTTAATGTTCAAGTTCTTAATTTTATGTTGTTATGTGGTGTTTGGAGAAGAAAAGCTGCAAACTTTGAAACGATGGCATCAGAGAAGACACATGGACTAACTCAGGAAGCTAATGACTTCACTTATGAAGCTATGATTGATAGTGAAAACAACACTGATGTATTCGACGACATGAAACAACGGTTCCTCGCCTTCAAGAAGCTTAAGTACATGTAAGTGGTGGTGAAACTAGTTGTTTTACTTCTTTATAACTCATCCAATGATGTTATTATAATCCTTTGAATAGGGATAACTTAGAGCACTACAAGAAGCTTGCAGATGCTCAATCTCCAAAGGTAGAGTTTAAAAAGTTTTTACTGTTTATGGATTGGCTTTGAGATATCTTCTTGTGATGAAATGTTGCTAACGGTTTAGGAAACAGTTTCTGGTGATTGCTTGTGCAGACTCTAGGGTTTGTCCTTCAGCCATCCTCGGATTTGAACCTGGTGAAGCTTTCACTGTTCGTAATATTGCAAATTTAGTACCTTCTTATGAGGTACGTACACAATCTAGTGTAGACTGCAACTGTTTAGTTTTAGGAGCTGTTTCATATTTTTGATTTGATTGTGTTTGCATGTTGCAGTCTGGACCTACTGAAACCAAAGCTGCTCTTCAATTCTCTGTGAATACTCTTGAAGTAAGTATCTCATCTCTAATAAAACATGTGTATGACACTTAATATGTGTTTCAAGTTCTTATGAGTGGATCATTTGTTGTCAAGAAACTTTATATAGATATAAAGTCTTCCCTTTATCTTTACAATGTGGACTGTCCACAGTTTAGACTTTTCATGGATCTGTTTCTTGTAAGAAATCAGCTTCCTGAAGATTTGGTTCTTGTGATTACTTATACTGAACTTGAACTCAAAATCTAAAGCTTTGATTCTTAGTCTCTTTGAAGAGTTGTGGGATTGATTCTATTAAACTTTGTAGGTGGAGAACATCTTAGTTATTGGTCATAGCCGTTGTGGAGGAATTCAAGCTTTAATGAGCATGGAAGATGAAGGAGACTCCAGGTTTCTTTTAATCACTCTATTGATAAAAACAAAAGTTTCTTAGTTCTTGATCTTTGCCTTATTGCATTTTCCTGTTAACAGAAGTTTCATACATAACTGGGTGATTGTTGGGAAAAAGGCAAAGGAGAGCACAAAAGCTGTTGCTTCAAACCTCCATTTTGATCATCAGTGTCAACATTGTGAAAAGGTCATGTCTATTGGAAAATTATATATATATATACCTTATGTTAGTTAATGAACTAATATATAGTGTGTAAGAGTGCAGACATCGATAAATCATTCATTAGAAAGGCTGCTTGGTTATCCATGGATAGAAGAGAAAGTGCGTAAAGGATCATTGTCACTCCATGGTGGGTACTATGACTTTGTAAACTGTACATTTGAGAAATGGACCCTCGATTATGAAGGAAGCAGAGGCAAGAATGGGATTGCTGTTAAGAACCAATCAGTTTGGTGATGACTAGTGACCATCTCAGTCTTCTTTAGGGTTGTCTTTTATAGTTTTGAGAACTCATCAGAGACCATTTTCTTGCAGTTGTGTGTTGAAAAATATCATTTTCTAACTCTACGTTTCATTGAAGTTTAAAATGTGAAAGATCCATCTCTTCAGGGACTTGAGTTTATGCTATCATATGGTTTGTGAATTCATGTTTCTTCCCCCATAGGATCATGCCAAGTACCTTCACTTTAAAATACTAGTGAAAATCTAACTACTACACTATAAAATATATAAAGATATATATATATATATATATATATATATATATATATATATATATATATATATAATTTTTAGAGAACTCTATAGGAGAGAAACTAGATTTACAAACTAGAAATATTCTTATAAATAGAAGATTTCAAATAGTGTTTTACTATAAACGTAAAAGAATACATATACACTCATAACAGCGCAAACGTAAATATTACAAACATAAACATATTTTTATATTACAAAGAGTAAAGAACCAAATAAGCATACAACATATTGATTATCTAAATGGAAATTAAAAAAATAAATCATACGGAGATGCGTAATCAACCAAACCAAAAACACACCACACTGGTACATTTCACTATAGCATAAGAGACACAACAAATCTCATGAAGTACTTAATTATTCAAGGACTCGATTTAGTTGTAGTAGGGGGAGGAGAGAACATTGGAATGGATGGGAAATTGGTCGGGAGAGAAGGAAGTGTTGTCGGAAATGAAGGTAGAGTTGGCATTGGAATTGGAGGGATTGAAGTGGGAATTGTGGGAAGATTTGTTTGTGGCAATGTTGATGGCAGTGGAGGAATTGAAGTGGGCATGGTGGGAAGAGTTGGTTGTGGCAATGTTGATGGCAATGGAGGTAGTCCCATTGTTGGGATAGGCATATTTGGAATTTGAGGAAGAGGTGGTTGTTGGAGAAGACGGCGTGAGGCTAAGCATGTGTTGATCGTAGTAGAGAAAGAAAGACTCACTAAGAAAGCAATGAGAAAAAGCTTGATTGATGCCATTTTGGATGTGTTTGGCGAGTTCTTTTTTATCCACTTTCTAATTGCTTCTTTGGTTATTGCTTTGTGTTGATGAGAAATTTTAATGATATGCTATTGAGTTTATATAGATGCAAAGTCTATATGGGTTACATCATATAATTTTTGTATGGTTTTGGTAGGTTACTGTATAGTTGGCTTGAGCCTTGTTAGTTCAACTTAATGTATTATTCTAAGCTTATTTTGACAATTCAAGGAAATTTGATTTAAGTTAGGTCAACCATCAAAACCCTCTAACTTTACTTGGTTAGTAATAACTAATAACTCGTAATGTTTTCAATGCATTTTGTTGGTCACCTATATGAAGGCTTTAAACTACTTTACTGACCAACAATAACTGAATAATGAAAACAAACCTATAAACTCTTTTATATATGCCTTAAAAATCCAATACAAATACAAATAAGAAATAGAAATTATTTCCCTCGAGTTTTTAATACAATCTAATATAGACATTATTATAAAATATAGAAACTGAGCCTGACTAACATTGAGGTAATTTCTCGCTGAAAAACCGAGCAAGAACCCTATTTTCAAGAACTTGTAAGGCCTCAGAAGATTTTATGCATCTAGGTGTCTTGTATTGAGCTAGAGAAGCACCTTGAGCAATGAAATATTCCATGAGAGCGTCAAATGTTCCTTGTTGTACCACCCTTATCTCTAAAGCTCCAATAGATCCTTCCTTGTTTCGATATCTCTTGTAAAGAGCATCAAGTGATTCCTCTACTATGTTGCAACACTCCACCAATATATTAGTCTCAAGCTCACTGATTCCATTGTTGTTTCCTTTGAGTTCCCAATAAAGGACATAGTGACCTGGAACATCGGAGACATGAGGATAGCATGTGAAATCTCTCAACATTATATCTGAAGATTTAAGTACTTGTGTTGCACGAGTCACTCCTTTTAAAAGGTCTTCCTCAGTTGTTGCCTCCAAATAAACACTTAAGACCACATTTTGTCTTCGTACAAATTTAAAACTTGGTGCGTTATTGTAAAATCCAGTCACCTGTAGAACATCACCCACTCTATATCGGTGTAAACCTAGAAAGAAAAAAACATGACAACATGTTATCAGAACATTTATATAGTATATGTCTAGATAGACTGTTTTTGAAGTTGCACAAAAAAATGAGACTGTTTTTGAAAACTCACCCGCAAAATTTGTGACCACAAGTTCATAGTAATGGCCTAACTTTACGTTCACAAGATCAACAATTGTGTTGTTTCCTTCACCAACCGGTATAAACTCGAAGTATGACATATTTGGCAGAAATGTGTAGGAGACATCTTGTGGTTTGCATAGAGGATTCAAATTTACCCCAAACATGGCTTCAGAAGACGCATAATTTGGGGAAACAAGAGGCAGATCATTTACATAAAACTCTAATAGTGGAACATGTTGAGCCATCTGTCCTGTAACAATACATTCTATAAATTTGGTTTTGGGCCAAAGCTGTGGAATTATACCTTTCCATGATTTTTGGTTGCATATGTCTTCTATTATATCTGCCAGCTGAGGATTGGGTCCTCCAAGTATCGTGGAAACAGACTCCTTGCAGCTATCAGTGATCCAATCACTAAGCTGACCTGACCGTATGTTACTACACATTTCTTTCCAAAAGTTTTCAAGAAAACTGATTCCTTGAACCAATATAGAAGCAAAGTTGGCACTCACTCTTGTAACTTCATCTCTCAGGACAAGACCACAAAGAAGATGACAATATAGACTCTGTTTAATGTCAGGACAAAATTTGATTTCACTAGGACTTGTGCTCGAAGTATCCCAGTAGGATGGTAGGTTCTTGACATAATAGTCGCTTTTCATGAAATGTGTAGTAGCATGTGAAGCTGGCAAACCAGATGGAGTTTTGGAGGCTGGTTTAAGGAAGATGAGATGCAACCCTTTTCCTTTGTTGTGACCATCGACATGCCTACGTACAAGCCAAAATAATTGTTTTTCATCTTACTATCATTCGTGACAGAAAAAAAAAAAATCTTACTATCATAAGTTATTGATTTGGAGGCTGATCTAGAAGACCAATAATATATTTATGATGTTTTGTTCAACTGTGACTCTAAAAATTTAGCTGTAAAAGTTTAGTTTTAGATAGATTGGTTGTAGCTGTAAAATTGTTATTGTAGATTTTTTTTGTAGAGATTTTTGTTGTAATTAAATTTGTTGTAACTGTAAGTTGTAGGCTGTAGATATTTTAAAATAAAATATTTGAAATATGTGATGTTTATATAAAAAATATTTTTATCAATTAAATAGTTTATATTACCATTTTTTATAAATTATCAAAGTTTATTGCTATATAAAATATGATATGTAAAAAACATTTATGTTCTTTGAAATATTTCAATAATTTTAAAACACCCTAAAATAAATTAAATTTAATATTTATAGATGTTTATGATTATTTAATTTATTTGATATTATAGATAATATTTTTCATTTGACAGATTCTACAGCCTATAAAAGAAAATTTTAGATTTATTCCTTAAAATACTTAAGAATTTTTTTTCTTTAGTTTTTTTTTTGCTGTAGTTTTAAAAATAAAGCTAAAACATGATTGGTAAAAAATTATAGAAACTTAACGTAAGTTTTAAATTTTAAAAATAAAATTACAAGATGATTGGTAAAATTTAGTGATTTAAAAATACATAAAGATAAAATAAGGAGATAAAGTTCAACCAATAACCCCTATGTATCGTGAACATACTTTAGAGAACTATATATATCTTAATAAAGTTGCATATGAAGATATTTATGTTACTTTTGAATAGTTTATATATCCAATCAATGTACTTCTGAAGTTTACAAGATGGACATTAATCCAATACATGTGCACATAAAATCTAATAAAATAAGTTTTGTAGAACCAAATGAAAAAAAAAGGAATTTAAAAAGAAAAAAAAATTAACGAATAGGGAAAGTAATATATTTAATTACCTCGATAATACGAGGTAACGAAGATCAAACAATAATCTAGCGTTCTCCAAGTACTTGTTGTTCAAAGGTATTAACTTCTGTTTTCCTCCTGAAGTTCCAGACCTACACATGGAATTGTATTTGACTAAAAAAATACATATAGAGAATGATAGTATCGGTTAGCAAGAACATAGCGAGTATGTATACGTTAGTATGAATCCAGTAATAGGCTTGCCCGAAATGATCTCTGAGGGCTCGCCCTTCACAACACGCTCGATGTATGGCTTAACATCTTCATAGGTCCCTACAGGAACGTTCTTCTTAAAAAGCTCCTTATCTGAACTCCCATGGAGAAAACTCCTAAGGTACTCTGTGTCGGCATCACATGTTAGTATCTCTTTTAGTACCGCATCTTGTATTTGCTTCACGTTGGACGTTAATTTCTCTAGCACAGCTAAGCCAGCATCTTCTTCCGTGAGGTTAATCATGTTTCACTGTATACTCACTTGATTTGTAATCAACACTTGTTCCTTGTGTTATTTATAGTGTAGAATAGGTTAATTTTTAAACAACATAAAGCGGTGTGGTGAAAGTGGAGGGGCCAACGGTCAGTATTTAACTCACAACGTTTTTCACGACTATTATTCTTAACTATAGTTTATTTATGCACCAAGAGTTGTTTAAGTATTTTTTATTTATGCAAATTTAGTGACAAAGAATATTTAAACAACTCTTTAAACAAAAAGAGTTGTTTAAATATTCTTTGTCACTAAATTTGCAAAAGCTAAAGCTAGTTTTCCATTATTGACCATCATAAGGATTTTTTAACTGATTCTACAGATTTTAGTTAGCACGTGTATGGCGTTTATCTTCTCAATTGGTAGCGCTGATGTAACATTAATTCATCTTCGTCTCCTTTACCAAATACTTGACTTTATAGTCAGTCCTACTGATTAATTAACTGATACTTGAATTTCAATATACATTTTCTATATAACTAAGATCCCAGAACCTACAAACCTTTAAATATATTGACAATAGTGAATGTGTAAATGATTATATTCAACAATCCTACAAACCTTTAAATAAAAGTCATGTTAATGGCGATACTTTTTTCGCTTTAGAAAACTCTTGGTTTCATACCATTAGCCGACCTACTTTTGCATCTCCAAGACAAAAATCACAACAGAAGAAAGAAAATGTTATCAAGACTCAAATTAATTATATAGACTTCCCTTTCACCAATAAAGGTTAAAAAAAGTGTTTCCAAAAAGAACATTTAGTTTAATCTGTTATAAAAAAAACATTTAGTTTAATCCAGTCTTAGGGTTTTGGCCTTTATTGGTGAAAGGGAAGTAAAGTTTTCTTAAAGGAAAAAGAACTAAATATACTAATTGCTTATGCTCCGGTCCCTTAGAACATTAATCATGGGGAGGTTTTTAAAGGTGGAGTTCTAAACAGAATTAAGAAATTATCTTTTAACTTTTAACTAAAAAAATTAAGAATCAATTTTTAGATAAACATTTAATAACATATTCTTATATTTTTTAGTTAAAAGTTAAGAGACGTTTTTTGATTCCGCTAACTGCCCACTTTAAGAACCCCATTAAATAATGTTCTTACTGTTGTCACCGGCATATTAGCAGGCAGTCTTTTCATTTGACTATAGCTCAGAATCTACATGTAAAAATATAGAACATGCCAATCCATACGTGGTGGTTCTGAAAGCATGATTGGATGTAAATAAGGCTAATTAAAGAGTTTGCGTAAATCGACTAGTGCAAATGAAACAAAGTTTTATAAAACCTATAGTTTGAAGGAGCCTTCAATAGAATCATTCGATACGCAATAAAGCGTTTTTTATTAATGAAAATATAGAAGTTGCATGGTCGCTCGTTAACAAGGAGTGTCCACAGCAGGTAATTTGTCACTAAAAAAACTACCGATAACCCTGTTGTCAAGAACTTCTAAGGCCTCGGAGGATTTAATGCATCTAGGTGTCTTGTATTGACCTAGAGAAGCCCCTTGAGCAATGAAATATTCCATAAGAGAGTCAAACGTTCCTTGTTGAACCACTCTTATCTCTAAAGCTCCAATAGATCCATCCTTGCTCCTAAAACTTCTGTAAAGAGCATCAAGTGAGTCCTCTACTACCGAACAACATTCCCGTTCCACCAGCACATTGGTATCAATTAGCTCATTGATGTCATAGTCTTTGTTGCCTTTGAGTTCCCAATAAAGAACATAGTGACCTGGAATGGCAGAGATATGAGGATAGCATGTGAAATCCCTCAACATTACATCTGAAGATTTAAGTAGTTGTGTTGCATTAGTCACTGCATTTAAAAGATCTTCTTCCGTTGTCGCCTCCAAATAAACACTTAAGACCACGTTTTGTCTTCGTACAAACTTAAACTGTGGTGCGCTATTGTAAAATCCAGTCACTTGTAGAACATCCCCAACCCTATATCGGTGTAAACCTAGTAAGAAAAAATGACAACATCAATTTAGTTTGGTTATTTGAGAACATACACGTCTAAGTATACTTTTTAAAAAAAAAACTTACCGGAATAATTGGTGACTACAAGTTCATAGTAGCAATCTAACTTTACGTTTACAAGATCAACAATTGTGTCGTTTCCTTCACTAACCGGTATAAATTCAAAGTATGCCATATTCGGCATAAATGTGTAGCATACATCCTGTGGTTTGCATAGAGGATTCAAATTTACCCCAAAGAAGGCCTCAGAAGACACATAATTTCTTGAAACTAGAGGCAGATCATTGGCATAGAACTCCAATAATGGAATATATTGAGCCATCTGTCCTGTAAAAGTGCATTCGATAATTTTGGTGTTGGGCCAAAGTTGTGGAATTATACCTTTCCATGATTTCTGGTTGCATATGTCTTCTATTGTATGTGCTAGTTTAGGATTAGGTCCTCCAAGTATCATGGAAACAGATCCCTTGCAGCTATCAGTGATCCAATCACTAAGCTGACCTGATCGTATGTTACTGCACATTTCTTTCCAAAAGTTTTCAAGAAAACTGATTCCTTGAACCAAGACAGAAGCAAAGATAGCACTCACGCTTGTAACTTCATCTCTCATGACTAGACCACAAATAAGATGACAATATAGACTCTGTTTATTGTCAGGACAAAATCTGATTTCACTGGGACTTGTGCTCGAAGTATTCCAGTATGATGGTAGGTTTTTAACACAATAATCGCTTTTCATTAAATGTGTACTGCCATATGAAACTGGCAAACCAGATGGAGCTTTGAAGCCTGGTTTAAGGAAAATGAGATGCAACCCTTTTCCTTCGTTGTAACCCTTGACATGCCTACAAATCAAAAGAAACATTTTTTACATACTATTGTAAATTTATTATTGGAGGTTAATCTAGAAAATCAATAATAAATTTATTGTGAAGAAATTTATTTATAATAATGAGGTTGTATTAGATATTTATGTTCATTTTTTAATAATTGCAAAAGCTTTCAAGATTAGCATTAATCAATACATAAGTGCATGGAAAATCTTTTTTAAAATATTATACAGAACAAGATGGAAAAACTATCTTTAACAAATTTACCTTAAAAATAATGAAAACTAATCCTACCTCCGTTCCACATAAATAAAGGAGGAATTATAATTTTACCAACAATTTGATACTGATTTTTAAATTTACCTGTAAAGAAGAACTGTTTTCATAAATACCTTAAATTATTATAAAATAAAACTAATTAATTCTGTTAAATCATGGAAGGAATTATGTTTTTACCCTATTTTTTGTACAACTATTCATATTTACTTTCATTAGAAAGACATTTTCACAAATATAATTTTCATTAAAAAGGCATAAGATCTTTATACCCTTGTTTTATAGATATATAAATATAATAATTATTTAAATAGTAATAAAAATAAAAAAATTATATAGTTTTCAATTTATACGTTTTGAAATTTTTATAAATTCTTTTTCGAATTTTTATTTTGAAATTAAAAAACAAATTGAAACAATTTTTAAAATTGGTATTTTAAATTTTCAGTTTTTTTTTAAATCATAAACTCACCCTCTAAAACACTCCACCGCTCAGATATATTTACTACATATTTAATGTGCTTTATTAATATGTGTGAACAATTAAAAGTATTACTTTTTGAGACTAGAAGTAATAATAATCTAAAAATTCAATAAAACTAATTAAATTATTAAAATTGATTATCATAGAAAATGATGTATATAATACATATTTAATGTGCTTTATTATTATATTTGAATAAATAAAATATTACCTTTTCCAGAGTAGAAGGAATAATAAATTGTAAATTCAATAAAACTAATTAACTTATTATTGGTTTTATTTATTGAAAATAAGTAGACAAAATAATTAATTGGTGATATACATTTAACTAAATTAAAATCCGCACTTTGTGCAGAATAAACATTATGTATACAAATTATTTTTACATATTATTATTTATTTTTGTATTTATTTACATATTATGAAATAATAAGTATATTGACAATTTAGAATCAAGTAACTATTATATATATAATTTAATTAGAGTAAACCAAATAAATCAGAACCATCCCTATTCTTTATTTATAATAATATTTATTGGTAAATAAATAAAAGTAATCATTCTATTTATTTGATATATTATATAATTAAATTTAAATGATATTGACACATGTATATAGTATATTTAATATGAATATTTATTAATTTACGCTTCCTACTCGTATGATTTAGTTATAATTTATATATTAGGTATAACAAAAACAAATTAAACCATTAACCACAAACTTTTAAATGTGAAAGTTTTAATACTTTAATTATTTCAATGAAATTTTAAATTTTAATATTAAGGTCTCCATACTTTTTCAGTGCAAGTTTTGAAACTAACATATTTATGTATTTTATATCGTATATAGTTTAAGTTAAACGGTATTAAATATATATATATATATATATAATCTAAATATCTTTTAAATTAGAATACATATACATATGATTTTATGATCATTTCTATCTTGTTATAACAAATAATATTAAACCATTGATAACAAGTTTTTTGATGTGGGACTTTTAATAGTTTTAATAATTTCTAATCATTTTTTTTTAAAAAATAAAAATTTAATATATAGAAAACAAGCTCATATTTTTATTAAGCTGTTAATGTGATTGTTTAATTTTCTTTAATAATATAAAAAATTTGAAAATAATAGAGGATACAAAAATTGTTATAACTATTTATTATTCAAACTCATTAATTATCATATATATATTAATTATATTATTTCATCAAAACTGTTACTCATATTAGGTAAGTAGTTTTTATTTTAAAAAATAATGTATAATATTATTTTGTATACTAATATTAAACCAATAGTTAGTTTAATAAAAATATAATATATATTTGGATGAACTAACCTATTTATATAAAGAATCTATGAATTGTTTTAATGATGACATGTAGATACCTCAAATGTTGTAATGCTTCTCCACTAGTATACATAAGAGATGTGCGTGTTATGAATATGTGTGAACAAATAAAAAACAAATTATCTTTGTAAAACGTAGTGAGTATCATTTTCGATAAGTGGAAAATATTTCTTCACCAACCTCTCCACCGTGGGGATAGTTGAATTGAATGGCATTACGGATCTGACTTGGCTGCTGTTTGCTCCAAATCTTGTCAAACTCCATGTTGGAAACTCAGAAGAAGTGAAAGAGATTATAAACAAAAAGAAAGCGAAAAAGCTTACAGGTATTTCACCACCTTTTCAAAAACTAGAAATGTTGTTGTTGGAAGGGTTGCCAAAGCTGGAGAGTATCTACTGGAGTCCTCTTCCCTTTCCATTTTTGAAGCGCATAGTGAAAATAGAATGTCCAAAAATGAGAAAGTTTCCCTTAAATGCTACAAGTGTCTCACGAGTTGATGAGCTTTCAATAATAATGAAGTCTGAAGAGGAATTTCAGCTTGAATGGGAGGACGAAGATACCAAAAACCGTTTCTCGCCTTTAATCAGTCTGGTAACTATTTGCTATTTGTTTCTTATTCTCTTCCACTATATGTTAGCATGAGGTGTAGCATCATTACTAGGCTGATATGATCCATTTGGAACATAAATATATACCCATCAAAAAAATTTGGAGTACATAACAGAAATTATTTTGAAATTTAGGAATGTCTTTGGCAGATTTTTATGAGATGTCATTAATTCAAATGTTCTCTTCAAATGATCAAACCACCAACAACTCTTTCTTCTGTCTTACTTTCACATTTGTTAAGCAAGAAATATATGAAAGAAGAAATAATAAAAAAAAAATAGAAACATATTTAATTTTTTCAGATTCTTGATATAATTTAGAGAATATATATGAAACAGATATTTCAGAAAATGTTTTTGTGAAAAATTTAGAATATGTATATTGTACCTGCGTTTCAACTAATGCACTAACTTTGTACTCTGTTTTCCTTTTGGTTTTGGTTTTCTTCAGGGTAGAGAGATGTAAACACCCTTCAATCTGGCTCCATGCTTCCATCTCCGGTGTTTTCTCTTCCGGTTTCTTGATCTCTTGTTGTTCATTTGGATTATTGTATCATTTCTTTTCCTTTGCATACGAGTGTGTTGTGTTGTTCACTTGAAATATGTTATCATTCTCCTCTTGTATAACGTTGTAAGACATTTTATCATTTCAAAAATGTTATCATTCTTCTAGTGTTTCAAAAAGAAATAATTTTTTTTCAAACAGTTTATATGCTTTTAGGAAATGGAGCTTTCTATTAATGTGTGATGCATGTACTTCTACAGATGATTTTGATTTTGGATTTGATCAAATCAAAATCTACGCTTCAATATGATAGATATAATACTTTAAAAGCTCTAAATTCACTCTATCAATGAGCAAGTAAAGAACTCAAGCCTAGATTTTCTCCCAAATACAACATTCTAAATCCTCAATCCCAGTAGAACTCTCAAAACATAAATTTAATACTAGTAATTTTGGTAAACTGACATCAGGATAATTTTCATATAGAAATTTTGATGCAGTGTGGTGTTGTTTGAGAGATTACATGAAGACTTTCCAAGTTCGTCATTGGTTTATCTACTTGTAAGTCTTCATTAATTTTCCATCCATTTACATGAAGACTTTCCAAGTTGAATGCATCGATTTTATCATCAATATTTTCTGTACAGCATGAATGAACTACTTGAGATATTTCTATCTGACAAAAATGAAGTTATCTTAGAGCACAATATACGCTTAACACTAATAGTTCTGTAATTATTATGTAAATCTCTAGTTCTAGATTACATGTTACTATTCTAATAATATATTTGTTTCCTGCTAAAGAAGCTTCACTTAATCGTGGATACATCTTAGTGTTGCTTTACAATCTCCACACAAAGGTCATGATCCAAGTATTCTTCCAGCTAATTTCTAAAGTAGACCACCTCATTATGGAGTTTCAAACAAGAAAGAGAGGGTGATTGAGTTCTGCTGTAACTTGGGATCCCTGTCAATAGTCACATACATTCCTCAAACAAAAAATTGCTCGTCAGATCAGATTCTCAGCAAAGATTTTTTTTCACAAAGGAGGTTACGAGTCTTATGACCCTGAGTCTTCCAAGCGCAGAAAAGGCCACTGACTTAATATATTGAATAAATAGAAGTTTAATTACCAATAGAAGTTTACTATCCAAAGTGGAAAGGATGAAAGCAAAGAGCTCACACAATCATTTAATACATAAACAAACTGATCTCGTCTGTTCAAATGAGAAGCTATACTTGTGATGATCAAATTCACACATCGTCTATACTCCGATGCTCCACGAGCAATTGTTCCAGTTCTTCCCTGCGTCGGTCTATCTCCTGCAACAACAAGGTTCAACCATTTAGAAGCCATCTGTGCAATGTCTTAAATGATGATGCAAATATAGACACAGATAACACTATCACTACTTACCTCAAGATCCTTGACAGCTTGTTCTTTTGAGATTTCCTTCTTCTGCCGAGCACGTTTCAGAAAACCAATGCATAGAATCCCCTAAAGTTCAGCCAAACGATTAAAAAGATTAAACCAAATTAAACATACGCAGATCCAAAAATGAAGGTGATATATCATCATACTGATATGAAATAGACAAGACCACAAGCAAGAAGCATGTAACTAGCAATGTTCTGAAGAAGCAAGAGATCTTTCTTTTGAGTCATATAGTCAGGGAAAGCTCTTGTCATCACAGCCACACTGCAAACAACAAGCAAAAAAAAGTTAATAATCTTTTAACACCAACCAAAACAATAAAGAAGCATTACAAGAGGGAGTTTACTGTAACTTTACAAAATCTGAAGCATTCCTCTCCCAGCCCAATACTCAAGAACCTTAGAAAATTTCAGTATAAATCCCCATTCCGTCTCGGCAAGAACCACAAAACAAGCGATCAACACAGCGTAACACCGGAATATTCCATCGAATATCTGACCAATGAAAAACGATTCATAAAACCTTTCAGACAAAGAAGATCAATACAGAGAGAGAGAGGGTTACTATTGATTATTACATCGTGGCTGTCGCGGAAGGAGCGAATAGCAGCGAGAACGTTGACGACAACGCAGAGAATGGCGACGAGGGATGTGACGAAGCTGAAGCATCTGCAGACAACGAGGAAAGGGTCTGCTCTGTTACTGAGACGAGATCTTATGGCTTCTCCAGAAGGTTCAGCGGTTTCTTCATTGGCCTCTGCCCTCTCCATCTACTTTCTGCTGATGAAATGTTACAGGAGAAGGAACGTGGCTAATTCTGGAAAGGTGGATTCTTTTAGCTCAAATGATTGATCTTACTTTTAGCAAGAAAAAATATCTTTTTTAGGATAAGTAGTAGTGCTGTGTGTTCGTTAGTTAGTTCAGGTAATTTGGTTCGATAGTTCGGTTTAGCCAAATTTTACCGAATAATTTGAAATAAAGTTTGATTTGGTTAGTTTTTTTTTTTTTTTAAGTTCTATCAAAGTTTTTGATTTCGGTTAGATTTTCATTAATTTTTGTTAAAATTTAATTCAGTTAAATTTGGTTAACTCAATTTAAGTTTGATTAGTTTGTTTGAACATTGATTAAATCAGTTAACTTTGTTTGGGTTTTTTTTGGTTATAAAAAATCGAAGTAATTGATTATCGAACCGAACCGTAAACCAAAAATTTTAAAATATCTATTGAATCGAACCGATCTTTAAACCAAATTAACCGTAAATTCGGTTCTGTTCTTTTTCAGACATCCGACAAAAAGACAAAAGCCACATATACACAAAAGCTCGCCTCTATCTATCTACCATAAATTCGGTTCTGTTCTTTTTCCGGCGTCACGCCGCGTGAGAGATGACTTCCTTATCTACACCTCCGTCACAAAACCTCGCCTTCTCCCCCGCCGCCACGTCATCCAGACTCACTCCCACCAAAAGACCGTTTTACCCTCACCGTCTCTCCCATCCTCCCTCCCTCTGCCGCTGCTCCTCCGGCGGCAATTCATCTTCCTCCAATGATGATGTTAACCCTAGATGGGACGCTACGATACAGGACGTTCTCAAGAACGCAATCAAACGGTTTGATTCGGTTATGAGCTGGTACAGTAATCAAGATAAGGAAACTGAAGAAGACGACGTCGTTTCCGGTGGGAGTAATATCAAGAACGAGGAGGAAAGTGATTGGGATTGGGAGAGATGGAAGAAACATTTCGAATATATTGATGAACAAGACTGTTTTGTCTCTGTCCTAAAGGTATAAACTTTTCTTACAAGAAAGTTACATTTCCGACAAAAACTGTCTGAAAAAGTGGAGATTTTTTGTGATTTTTGGGTACAGTCTCAGTTGAATAGAGCGGTAAAAAGAGAAGATTATGAAGATGCAGCGAGGCTCAAGGTGGCGATTGCAGCTGCTTCTAGAAATGACGCTGTTGGCAGAGTCATGTCTAGTTTCAATGTATAATAATAAACATTCTATTATACTTAATCTGAATTATAGTCTCTTTGTTTCGTTTGATTCTGAAAGATGTTTTGTGTTGTTGCTGTGTGTGTGTGTGTGATAGAGAGCTGTTCTTGAAGAGCGTTACAAGGATGCAGTATACTTACGAGACAAAGCTGGTGCTGGTTTGGTGAGCTGGTTTATTTATTTAATTTTATTTAAGTGGTAATAGTTGGTTTAGTATTCTCCTTATAAGTGTAGAGAGCTTTTGTTACTTTCTTCTTGTTTTTTGATGTTATTGCTTTGTCTCTTCATAAGCTGGTGCTGGTTTGGTGAGCTTAGTTTATTTGTTTTTTTTTTTATTAAGTGTTAATTGTGGTTTAGTATTCTCCTTATAAGTGTAAAGAGCTTTTGTTACTTTCTTGTTTTTGATGTTATAGGTAGGGTGGTGGTCAGGTATTTCGGAAGATGTTAAAGATCCTTTTGGTCTTATTGTTCAAATTACCGCAGAGCATGGAAGATATGTGGCAAGAAGCTATAATCCTCGGTAACAATAACTGATAATTTTATATTCTTTAGTTTCATCTGTAACAGTGATGTTTTGTGTATTAAAAAGCCTAATTTCTCTATGTCATTTATTGTTTTTTGGAACACTGCTTTGATATGAAATTTTTTTCTTTCTCTCAGGCAGCTTAGTACATCTGCTGAGGGTGCTCCTCTTTTTGAAGTCTTTCTCACACTTGATGCAAATGGGAACTACAAAAAACAGGTTTATTCCCGTCTTAATCCTATCTAGTTTGAGTTACTGTGAATGTTCATTGGAGAATCATTTTCGCTTAACTTGGTTGTTTAGTGGAAGCTGGCCTTTAGATGGATAATTTTTTTTAATAAATTGCTCTAAATTGGCTCATGATGATGTTAGAAAGCAGAGTTTTGAGTACTTGTGATATTCAATGAAGAATCATTTTCGGTTTATTTGATGGACTTAGTTCTTTACTAAGCTGACCTTTTAGTAGATTGCAAATTGCTCTCTAATGGCTCATGACGAACCTGCTTCTCTCAGGCTGTGTACTTAAAATGGAAGGAGATTTTCCCAGAAGTTCTAACTATGCCTACCAGAACTGTGAATACTCCCAAGCTTTTGGCTCCACCTGTATGGAAGGGAGAAGCAGGTAACCTTGCGGTCGAGCCTAGTGAAGATGAAGAAGAGAGTGAAAACAACTCAGACGATGATTCTGATCTCCTTGATGAATCTTCTGGCTTCCAGACTTTCCTGAGAGATATGATCCCTGGTGTCAAAGTCAAGGTTATGAAAGTGAATTCTCCTGGAAAGGTGGACAAAGATTTCATCTCAAAAGTTATTGACCAGATAGCTGATGAAGAAGAAGATGATGAAGAGAATGATTTTGATATAGAAGATATAGTTGTAGAAGATGAAACCAAGTCTGAAACCGATGATAATAACAGTGAATCTGTGAGTGATGAAGTCATTGACAGCAATGGAGGGAAGGAAGTAGCAGTTAAGTTTGTGATAAGTGATATTGTTGGTAGACTATCTGGAAACCAACCTATTAAAGAGTCACTTAGATCCCCTGCCAATCTTGAATCTGTGGAGAAGTCTTCGTTTTATCTTCGGTTAGAGAAAGATTTAAACGTACACGAAGAGTCCAAAGGTGTGGAAGGTACATTAGTTGGTGACAAAGGTAACCGCCAAAGTAGACGCAGGGTTGATAACATTATAGTTGATCTGGCTAAATCCATTGAGAAAGAGAAGAAGATCTCTGTCAAGGTTCGTTTTGATGCGTGTGTTTTGGCTAATTTTGTTCCTTCTTGTTTCACTGCCTTATTTTAGAAATTTTGCTTTTCAGATGCTTAAGGATGTTGGAGAGCTGTTAAGGCTCACTCTAAGCCAGGCTCAGAACCGTCAACAGTTGTCTGGTTTAACTAAATTCCGTCGTATTGATGTGACACCATCGCTAGATCCTCTAAATGGTGAGTGAATCATATGATAGAATGGGTTCTACAAGTTGATATGGCTCGTTTAGCAGTTAGAGGTTACATTCTTCTTTTGTGACTAATGAGTTGGTGGATGATTACTTTAAATTTTGCAACCTCTCCATATAAGTATCTTTTTGCTTTCTCACATTAGCTCTTACTATGGAATGTATTTTGAGAATTTATGTTGATCTTTCATCCAGGGCTATATATTGGAGCACATGGGCGGTATACATCAGAAGTAATTCATCTAAAACGAAAATTTGGCCAGTGGAAAAGTGGAAAGGAGTCTAAGAAGCCAAGTGATATTGAATTTTATGAATATGTTGAAGCTGTGAAATTAACTGGAGATCCTTATGTGCCTGCTGGGAAGGTTAGTCTCTTTGTATTAGGTATTAGCACAAATATAAAAAGTAGCATTAAGAACTTGCCTGCTTATGTCTACACAAGAAAGGAAAGGTCATAGTGGCTGGACTTATAACAATGGTATGTGATGATGATAGGTAGCATTTCGCGCAAAGATTGGTAGACGTTATGAGCTTCCTCATAGAGGTCTCATCCCTGAAGAATTTGGAGTGGTATGCTGAAAACACTATCCAAATTTTATCATTAACCTCTGCTTTCTATTGGAGTATTCCTCATAGAGTTTCTCTTTGAAAAAAATATAGATTGCTAGATACAAAGGACAAGGTAGGCTTGCTGGTCCTGGATTTCGTAAACCAATATGGGTGGACGGCGAGCTTGTTATCCTAGATGGAAAGGTTCCTCTCCTTCATCCCTCAATCAACTTATAACTAAACTTGTTAATGATCCAAACTCAAATGTTTTTGTGTGATATGTTTGTTAAATTGTTTGGTCTTGATGCAGCATGTTAAAGGAGGACCTGTCGTTGGATTTGTCTATTGGGATCCTGAATATCACTTTGTGATGTTCTTCAACCGTCTGAGACTTCAAGTCTAGTGTTTTTTATTGTTGTCTTCTCGCTCTACAATCTGAGAAAGAGTTTTCTTCTGGCTATAGCCATTGTAAGTGTATGAAGTCGGTACGCAGAAAGGTGGTTGGAATGGTTTCACTATTTGCAGATTCATAGGATTCGGTTATGCATAGGATAAGATTAGTTTAAAGTTTCAGGGTCCATTCTTTATCTTTCTGGACCAGTAATGAGAATGACTCTTTTCTTGAGGAGATTGATTTAAGGCATCTAGATTGCTAAAGAATTAACACGGCAGAGTATATGATCATGCAGTGTACTACTAGTTGGATTCTGAGACTTTTTGTCGGAAAAGAAACTTGATTGTATTGTAAGGTTGGAGAAGTAGGCTATAGATATGTGTACATTTAATGTATGTTTCTTAGAGATTGCTTTTTGGATGTAAACATGGTAAGAGTTGTTCTAAAGTGTATTTTCAGTTTATATAATCTCCCGAATCTGTGTCTTGTTAAATGTCTTTTGTTGCAACAAAAGAAAATGATCAGAAGCTTATGTAGATGCAAAGGAAACCATTGATCTTGGAGTTTTATCATTTCATTCCACAAACCAAAATCCTCAGAATCTTTATGTCATTTCACATCAAGATTTTAGATCTCAGAGATGAGTAGGTGGAAATGAGGATACATACTCCAGATAAAACCGATATAGAGAGAAAGAGACCTTGTAAGAACCATCGACTGGAGACAACCAAGACAATGGATCTCCTCCTCAAGCTTCTCAATCTCCTCTTCTACATTCATTCCTCTTCCTTCTACATCCTCTTTGATGACACTTATTTGTATTTCTTCTTCAATCCGTCGGTTACAAAACAGGACTAAAAGACCCCACTTCACTTTTACAATTTCCGGACAGAACATACACTCATGTCTCAACTGGTTGAACTAATCTCACTTAGAGCACCCCATACAAATAAAAAAATAATTTTTTTTTATTTTCGTTTACTTTTTTTAAAAAAAAAAAAAAATTAATATTGGACCAATCATATGTTGACACGTGGTGAATCCGGGGTCATCGAGGTTCACCGCGGTGAACTTTTGAGAGAAAGGTTCAAAGAAATTTGATTTTGATATTATTTTTTTTTCTCGGTTTGCGTGTGAACTCGCCCCATCAACTCTTGATGGGGGTGCTCTTATGTCCTTTTATCTACACACTTAACGTTTTTTTTTTTTGAAACACACACACTTACGTATAAAATTGAAAAAAAAAAGTTCTTAAATAGTATTTTAAATTCTTGCATCTTTTTATCAAAAACAGAGAATATACCATGATGGACCTTGTAGAACACGGTGTAATATAAGAGCTTCCTGATAAAGTAAACTAAACATATATAATTTAATCTTCAAACAAAAAATAAAAAGTAAAAATTTGATCTTTATCATTCATTCATTCCACGAGGAGGCATCTGTCTTCTCCCAATACAGTAACCATCAAAATCGAGTATTCACCCCCAAACTCTCAACCCTTCGATCCATCCATGGCCATTGAACAAGTAACCAACGAGTCTCCTCCCTCTTCTCCTTTAGGATCCTCCGTGATCCCCATCGTCAACAAGCTACAAGACATATTCGCTCAGCTCGGGACCCACTCTTCCATCGAGCTTCCTCAGGTAGCTGTCGTTGGGAGCCAGAGCAGTGGCAAGTCCAGCGTCCTTGAAGCTCTCGTTGGCAGAGACTTTCTCCCACGTGGTAATGATATCTGCACTCGTCGTCCTCTTGTTCTTCAGCTTGTTCAGACTAAAAGCAAGTCTAGTGGTGGATCAGATGACGAGTGGGGAGAGTTTCTTCATTTGCCTAGTAACCATCGTATCTATGACTTCTCGAAGATTCGTCGCGAAATTGAGGTTTTTTTGGTTATATCATATTCTTGTATTGGATGTGTAGGCGCCCGCCTAGTCGGCAAATAGAGTCTGAACGAAACTATAAGTTCAAAATATCGGTCTAGTCGGCCGCTTAGTTGGCAAATAGGTTCTGAACGAAACTATGAGTTCAAAATATCGGTCTAGTCGCCCGCTTAGTTGGCAAATAGGGTCTGAACGAAACTATGAGTTCAAAATATCGGTCTTGGCGCCCCTTACTCGGTAGATAAGGTCTGAACGAAACTATGAGTTCAAAATATTGGTCTAGGCACCCATCTAGTTAGCAAATAGGGTCTAGGCGTCCGCTTAGTTAGCAAATGGGGTCTGAACGAAACTATGAGTTCAAAATATCGGTCTTGGCGCCCCTTACTCGGTAGATAAGGTCTGAACGAAACTATGAGTTCAAAATATTGGTCTAGGCACCCATCTAGTTAGCAAATAGGGTCTAGGCGTCCGCTTAGTTAGCAAATGGGGTCTGAACGAAACTATGAGTTCAAAATATCGGTCTAGTCGCCCGCTTAGTTGGCAAATAGGGTCTGAACGAAACTATGAGTTCAAAATATCGGTCTAGTCGCCCGATTAGTTGGCAAATAGGGTCTGAACAAAACTATGAGTTCAAAATATCGGTCTTGGCGCCCCTTACTCGGTAGATAAGGTCTGAACGAAACTATGAGTTCAAAATATTGGTCTAGGCACCCATCTAGTTAGCAAATAGGGTCTAGGCGTCCGCTTAGTTAGCAAATGGGGTCTGAACGAAACTATGAGTTCAAAATATCGGTCTAGGCACCCCTAGTTAGCAAATAGAGTGGGAACAAAACTATGAGTTCAAAATATCGTTCTAGGGGATCACCTAGTTGGCAAATAGGGTCTGAACGATACTATAAGTTCAAAAAATCGGTCTAGGCGCCTGCCTAGTTGAAAAATAGGGTCTGAACGAAACTTTGAGTTTGAAATATCCTATCTAGGCGCCCGACTAGTTGGCAAATAGGGTCTGAACGAAGTTATGAATTCAAAATATCGGTCTAGGCGCCCATCTAGTTAACAAATAGGGTCTGAACGAAACTATGAGTTCAAAAAAAATCGGTTTTAAACGCCCGCCTAAACATAAACCTCTGCCTAACGATCTCTTGAACATTGATTGGATGCATTGCCGTTCAGTGGTTTCATATGTGTAAAATGTTATTATCTTTGTGTAGGCTGAGACGAATAAGTTAGCAGGAGAGAACAAAGGTGTTAAAGACAAGCAGATTCGTTTGAAGATATTTTCTCCTAATGTATTGGATATCACACTTGTGGATCTCCCTGGTATCACTAAGGTGCCTGTGGGTGACCAGCCTACTGATATTGAAGCGCGTATCAGAACCATGATCTTGTCTTACATTAAGCAGCCTAGCTGCTTGATACTGGCTGTTACTCCTGCTAATTCCGATTTGGCAAACTCAGATGCTCTTCAGATTGCAGGAAACGCTGATCCTGATGGTAAGTAGAAAGCTAATGATACTGTTTATTGGGTTGTGTTTGACATTACTTTTTAATGTCTTCAGGTCACAGAACAATAGGTGTTATCACAAAGGTAGATACTCTCTGTCTGGACATTTTGTTTACTATCATTGTAGTTTGGTCTTGTTTTTTTTCATTTATTTAAGTATGTTTTGTTCTCAATGTTTTTAGTTGGATATCATGGACAAAGGTACCGATGCTCGTAATCTACTTCTTGGGAAAGTTGTGCCTCTACGACTTGGTTATGTTGGAGTTGTAAACCGTTGCCAGGAGGTAAACCTGTGGTCTTGTGCTTATATGTCTTGTGTTTGTCTTATTATCATATACTATGCTTATTTGTGCTGGTGATGGTTTATTTTGCTTTTGTTAAAATCTTCTTTGTTTGTTTCTTTTAATAAACAGGATATTTTGCTAAACCGTTCAGTCAAGGACGCACTTACTGCAGAAGAGAAGTTCTTCCAGAGTCGCCCAGTATGATTGCATCTCCCTTCCTGATACTCTTTTCGATTTGTACTGATTCGAGTTTTTTTCTATTTTTGGGAACTGCACAGGCTTATCATGGTCTTGCTGATCGTGTGGGCATCCCTCAGCTAGCAAAGAAGTTAAATCAGGTATGTATGAAGAACTTTTTTTGTTGTTGTTGCTGACTAGTTTCTTTTCCTTCTAATAGATTTCGTATCTGGTTTTGGTATGTATTATATTAGAGTATGACTAATATAAGCTAGCTTTTCTTTTGCATTTTTTTTGTTCTAGATTCTTGTTCAACATATCAAGGCTCTACTTCCTGATTTGAAGTCGCGTATAAGTAATGCTTTAGTTGCTACAGCTAAGGAGCATCAAAGCTATGGTGAAGTTACAGAGTCCAGGGTATGTATTCATTACCCATTTTGCGGCTCATTTACTTAATCTTTTGTTAACAATGACATTAGTATTGGCTTTGGTAGCTTACCACTAGTTCCACTTTATAATGTCTTTTGCTTAATATTTTCGGTTAAGTACAATTTTATTCTTCCAGGTTTTTTGCTCATGCATGTACCCTGTGTTCATGGCATTCATGGTGTAGTTAGCTTATTCTAAGTATTCACATTTTGAATTGAATTCTTGATATGCTAATTTTTACTTTCTTTATGACTTGCTTTGTCTCTATGATTGTTAAAACATCTTTAAATAGTCGAATTTATTCTATTCTGTGGGTCTTTACTGACCTTGAAACGTGTAGGCTGGTCAAGGAGCTCTTCTTCTCAACTTTCTTTCAAAATATTGTGAAGGTAATATCTGAACATGATATTTTAGTTGAGACAATTGGATAAGTTTTTTTTTTCTGGTTCATAATGAGTCTTATGGTTTAACTTTTATAAACAGCATACTCTTCATTGTTAGAAGGGAAAAGTGAAGAAATGTCTACATCAGAGCTCTCCGGAGGAGCTAGAATTCACTATATTTTCCAGTCAATCTTTGTTAAAAGCTTGGAGGTTCGTAGCCTCAATTCTTTGTTTAATCTGTGTATGTTGTCAGAGCTACTCAAGTTGGATGATGATGGGACCTTCCTTTACATTGCTTTTCAGGAAGTTGATCCATGCGAAGACTTGACCGATGATGATATTCGGACAGCAATCCAGAATGCAACTGGTCCAAGAGCCGCATTGTTTGTTCCATACGTAGGCTTCTTTAATATTTTCTAACCATGTTTGAATGTCATGGCCTTCAAGCATGCCATGATGGCATGATACCTAATTACAATCTTTTCTGCATTATAGGTTCCATTTGAAGTTCTTGTAAGGAGGCAGATATCTCGTTTGCTAGATCCTAGCCTTCAGTGTGCTAGGTTCATTTTTGATGAGCTCATAAAGGTGAGGTTTCTTTTTGGTTAAATGGTAATGTTAATTTCATAGTTTTTATAAATGTGAATTTCACTACAGATTAGCCATAAATGTATGATGAATGAGATACAACGCTTCCCTGTCCTAAGAAAGCGTATGGATGAGGTTATAAGAGATTTCTTGAGAGAAGGTCTTGAACCCTCAGAAGCAATGATTGGGGATCTTATTGATATGGAGGTTTGTATGATGAATTAGAGATGTAACGTTTGCTTCAATGGTTATGTCAATGTCTTATGTTACTGTTTGTAGATGGATTACATAAACACTTCACATCCTAATTTTATTGGTGGAACCAAGGCTGTGGAGGTTGCAATGCAGAAAGTGAAGTCTTCAAGGATTCCCCACCCTGTTGTGGCAAGACCAAAGGTATATATGATGAAGTACTTTGAGCAACTAACATAAAAACTAGGTTTGTGTGTTTTCTTATACGTTTATTTTGATGTAACAGGAGACAGTGGAGCCTGATAGAACATCTTCTTCTTCCGCAAGTCAAGTGAAGTCTCGATCATTTCTCGGAAGACAAGCTAATGGAATTGTTTTGGATCAGGTAGTGTTATAGTTCTATCTATATGTATCTTCCATGCACTGTGTGTTGGCACTAACGCCTATGATACTTTCTCCATTACATTGTTTCACCAGGGTGTTGTATCTGCTGATGCTGAAAAGGCACCACAATGTAATGTTCTAACTGCTCCGAATGTGTTTAAGAGCATGAGATTTTTGGTAGACATTAACTATGGTTTTGTCTGATAATTGATACTTTATATAGCAAATGCAAGTGAATCAAGGTGGGGCATTCCTTCAATTTTTAGAGGGAGTGATAATAGGGGAGTCACCAAAGAAAACTTCTTAAACAAACCATTCAATGATACTATTGAGGATATGTCTCAGAGTAACTTATCAATGATCTATCTGAAGCAGGTGTGTTTACTTTACCGTCTTAGTATTGTACATACATTTTTTGCCTATTCAAACTAATGCTGTTTGGTTTTACTTTCCTGAAGCCCCCAGCTGTGCTGAGACCATCAGAAACCCATACAGAACAGGAAGATGTCGAGATTCAGATAACAAAGCTGTTACTCAAATCATACTATGACATTGTGAGGAAGAATATTGAGGACTCAGTACCAAAAGCAATCATGCATTTCCTGGTAAGTATACTTCACACCTCCCCTAAAGTTAAATTGCAGTAACTCAAAACTCATATAATTTATCCTACTTTTAGGTAAACCACACGAAACGTGAGCTGCACAATGTCTTCATCAAGAAGCTTTACAGGGAGAACTTGTTTGAAGAAATGTTGCAAGAGCCAGATGAGATAGCAGGTAAGAGGAAACGCACTCAAGAGACTCTCCACATTCTTCAACAAGCTTACAGGGTATGTTCTCAGCATTCGTTTGGTTCAGCAAAAAAAAAATAGTCTTGTGTATGTTTTATATAATCATATGGTTTTGTGTGTTGAGCAGACACTAGACGAGTTACCCTTGGAAGTTGGATCAGTGTCCAATGGTGGTACTGATACAACAAGCGTGTCAAAATATCTGGACTTACCTACATCTTCTTCTTCGATCTATTCCACGAGCAGTTCATCATACTCAGCATCTCCTGGTTCTGGAAGAAGATATAGAAGAGCAGGAGATCAACACCAGAATGGATATGGGTTCTGATATGATTCTGTATCAATATATATGACTTGTAATAATAAGTGATAGAAGCATTTCACTCATTTAATGACTCTATCATGCTTTACATTGTGTTGGTGAAATGAGACGTTATATAGGAGACTGGGACACGCATACTGTGGTGTTGTATAATAACAAGAAGCAAAACCGACCAAGATCGGTCTACACAATTTTGTTGAATATCGATACAGTTTTGTATATGAATTACCGAAGGTTTTGCAATTCAAAACTTCCCTAGTCTTTCCTCAAGATTTAGCCATTTAACTTCTTAGTTAAGCTAATAAAAGAAATGACTAAACGAGTAACGTAGGAAGATTTAGGCAGAACAACTTAAAAAGATGCTCGAGAAAATTAGCAACTCTGATAAGTTTAGAAGAAGAGGAATTGGAACATAAATCAGTATTGTCAGCGTATATATATACTATACACATACAACATTTTATTACATAAATCTCATCATAAACAAAAAGCATACAAAGAGAGAGCAATATTCTTCTTTTAAAAATGTTTAATCAATGCATATAATGGTCGGGTCGCAGCAACATTCATCCACAAGGCAGCAACAGCACATAGCCGCAAGTCTGCAACACACAAAAGTTAACTCACTCATAACATTTGGTTCGAGATCAATAACATCTACACTAAAAGTAGGATCATAAGATATTGAAAATTATGAACCTTATCTAAACTCCCTAGTTTTGCTAAGATAATTATAGAAACAGAACAGTCTAATAAAAATCAGACACAACACTTACAGTCCTTCAAGGAAACCAGGTTTCCTTTTCGGAGGCGGTGGCGGTGGTGGAGCGTAATACTGCGGTGGTACTCCAACTGGAGGCGGTGGGCCATGAGGGTAGTTTCCTGGTGCAGGGTAAGGATATGCATACTTTGGATCGCTCATATTGTTTGCTAGAGAAACGATCAGATCGCTCAAAAGACTAATAAACTGTAGATTTTTGCGTTGGGAAACAGAGGAAAATAATAGATCTTTAGAGTGCAAACATGAGCTATGTAACCGTGTATTTATATTTGCGAAAGAACACCAGCTTCCTTCGAGGATATTTCTTATACAAGTTATAACAAAATAATATATAATGTAGGGTAAAAGAAGAATGTGTGGAGGAGACTTGGAGAATAATCTTGAAAGTACACACAAAGTTAACTTTTACAAAGCGGTGAAGAAAAAGAGAGGCATAAATAACGTTTAGGAATCAAATGCTTTGATGGAATGGAACATTCGAGATGAGGTGATGCAATCAGAGTGTTCACTTTTGTTTTGGAATTTCTTTTAGTACTCTCTCTCTCTCTCTTCTTTCCAGAGTTTTCCTTTGGTTATATTCCCTCAAAAACGTGTTCACACCATGTGTTGTAGTTTCATAGTGTATAATGAAAACGTTTGAAGATGTTTTCATACTTAAAACCTTTATTAATCTTATTAACTGAACTTAAAACTGTTACTGACACATCAAAGCATTCCAAGAAGTTATTGTGAACGAACACAACAAATAATCTTTTACTTCTGATCGATTCCACTTGGCCATGTCTGATTCTTTACAGGCCTAAGAATAGCTTCAACCTCAGACAGAGTTTCTTGATCCATACCCAAACCTTCAAGCTCTCTAACTGCTGCAACATTTTCTTCCACCTGATATTCACATGTGTTAACTCCAATTAAGAAAAAAAAAACAAAAACATTTGATGATTGATTAAAGAGAAAAGTCTTAAAGACTTGAAAATACCTGTGAGACAGAACTCATCCCAACCAACACTGATGAAATCTCCTTGTTTCCTAAACTATACTGCATTGCTAACTTTGTGATCTTCTTACCCTTTGATTTACAATGATCAGCAGCAACTTTGCAAGCAGACTACACAAGACATAATGCTCAGTCAGTTAAGCTGAATAATAATAAAATAATCTCTGGAGACTAATATTCTCTGAATATTTATCACAACAGAGAAATTGTCACACTCATATATATTAACAAATAATATAATTATATATGCTCTACAATGGTATGTATCAATACCTTGAGCTCAGGGGAAGCAGGGTGCCACTCAGGACCACCTTGTTCCGTAAGAAGACCCATAGCCAAAGGAGAAGCACTAATCACACCCACACCTTTCCCCTTCAAGTAAGGCAACAACTCCACCAACGTAGAATCATTTAAACCGTAATGACAATACGATAACACAACATCAACACTCCCTGGAGCCACTCTATCAAGAACATAACTGAAAACACTCAACGGCAAACCAGTGATACCAATAAACCTTATCTTCCCTTCTTGTTTCAGTTTCTGCAGAGCAGGGATTGTCTCACTCACAATCTGGTCAAGAGAACCGAACTCAATGTCGTGGCAATGAAGTATGTCAACGTAATCTAGCTGAAGCCTCTCTAAGCTCTCGTCTATGCTCTTTGTTACTCTCTCAGCACTGAAGTCAAAACCTTCTTTGTAACGTCCACACTTGGTTGCAACAATGTAGTCACTTCTAGGGACTTGTAGTGCCTTTAGTCCCTTTCCAAGCATCTTCTCTGATAGTGTTCCTCCATAATACCTTCACAAAAAAAAAAATGGAAAAACTTTCAATAACTAAATAAATAAATAACTGATGTTAAAAAAATAAAAATAAAATAAAATACATAACCATGGAGAAATCAAATCACTCAATTCTAACGTTTAATTGACCTAAACATTCTCAAGAATCATAAAATATGAATCAGTAACTTTCAATAACTAAATAAATACATAATGTTAAAAAAAAATAATAATAATAAAAAAATACAAAACAATGGAGAAATCAAATCACTCAATTCTAACGTTTCATTGGCCAAAACAATCTTAAGAATCATAAACAATGAATGAGTAACGTTTAAGTGGTTACGGGGAAGTGTCGAAGAAGTTGATGCCTTGTCGGAACGCTTCGCGTACGGTGGCGACGGCATCAACTTCGGCGACAGGACCGAAGACGCTACCGAGAGGAGAGGCGCCAAAGCCGATGGAGCTAACTTTGAGACCTGTGTTTCCTAGAGGACGAAGCTCCATCTATCTTGGCCTGAGGAATCGATATCGATAAAAAAAAAAAAGTGCTTTCTCAGACAGAACTGATGCGAACTGAATAGATATGGTTGAGAAGAGAATATAAGCCGACACCTGTTTTGTTTTGGATTTTTTTATACACATGGTGCTTAAGTTCTCGAATTACGATTATACCCTTTTAGGTATGAGAAAAAATAATAATAATTTTATTTAAGTTATTATTTCAGCGTTGCTGTATAATTGAAAAGGAGACTGCAGCACTATGTCAAATCATAGCCAAGCGAGGAGAATGAGGTATGATTACAAGAATCTTAATTTGTAAAGCTGTTTGAATCTTCTACATGCCTCTTAAGAGCACCATTAACCTAGAGAGCTTAAATGGCTACACAAGATTCCAACTGTAGACACCATCCCAAGACAGTTCAACGTTGAGATACTAAACAGTGTGGACACCATGAAAAGCGTGTACTCTCTTCTAAAAGGTCTATAGTTTGATCATATTGTTTTCATGTTACTGTAGTAGCTTCAGGAGAGCCTCCGAGCCAGTTAAGGATGTGGAAGGCTGAGGATGGTGCGAGTTTAATGTTTCAGTTGCCAGTTCCAGCTAGAACGCCTGTTGTGAAGGAGCTTTGTGGTCTAGACATCGTTGAGAGCTACATCCCAAGTTAGCTCGAGCCTATGAGCTAACAAAAAGTATTCAGTTTTTATACTTAATATTGAATCATTGATACATTCCAGAGATAAGTAACAAAAACATTGCAAAACAACGTTAAGAAAGATAATGTTAAAATTAGAGCAAGCAAGTGTAATGTAACAAACAACAAGACCAAGGTTGTCTTCAAAAGCATATTTCAGTCAACTTTTATAGAATCAAAGATAACAAAAAAAGTATAGACTTTTGTGAGTGAGTGAGAGAATGGAATTCTCAAACCTTTACAGATAGAGAATGTAATGCCTTAAAACGATATAAAAGAGGATCAATCATCATAACAACATTGGAACAAAGAATTGTACCCCATATTTCCTCGTCGTCTCCTCCTTCCAAGCAAATCTCAGCACACCAAATCTCCAAACTCTCAAGACCCCCAACAAGCACGTCCCAGTAGACCACAACGTTGCTGCCAAACTTGCACAGTTTGAACCCGGGGAGCCGGTGTTCAAATTCATTGCTGAAACCAACGGTGGAGGAATCGAACAATCCCGGCTCATGGTGGACCATTCTGGAAGAAGATAGTTGGTTTTGAAGAGACTCCAAACCTTTCACCTCCTTCCAGTTGATTGACGGTTCACTAATACCCTCCTTTTCCAACTCCTTTGCTTCAGACCACAGTATTGTCCCACTTACATGACAAGAGTACAACACTTTACCTACCAAACACCAACCCCGTCTTACTCCCCCACCCGTATCCCACCTCCTCCCTTGTTCCCGCTTATCATTACTCGGCGAGTAGTAGATAGTTTCCCAAAGGTTTGTGGCTGCGTAAATTTTTCCATCCATCACCATGCAGTCCCTGTTCGAACCAAACCCCGCGCCGATCAAATTTATATCCTCCTCAGGGGGAGGCATTAGGGCTTCCCACGTTTGCGTCTTTGGGTCAAACACCTCTCCCCAGTCCTCAGATGAATACTTGTGTTGGCATCCTCCCACCACGTAAATCTTCCCGTTTACAACCCCCGTAATAGCCGAGGCGCGAGCCACACGCATCGAGGGGACGTGGCTCCACTTGTTAGTCCGACAATCAAGAAGAAAAACACCAGAGGTAGCCTTGCCGTTCACGGTCCCACCGATTACATAGATTCCATGATTCAGAGACACTACAGAGGATTTTTGCCAAGGCATATAGAGTAGCAAGGGGATTTGGACTAGTCTCGTTGTTGATGTGTGGACGAACCAGCGTGGAGTTGGGTCAGGAGGGGTGCGTAGACATATATAGAGCATGTTTTCTCTCAAACCCATCGACGTTCGTAGATCATAGAGCTCAGATGATGAAACCATAAGAAGAGAATGGTATCTCTTGGAGACCATAGATAAGGATGGGTGATCCAACTTTGAAACGTGAGCCAAACAGCTCAGAGCCAGCTCATCTGGCAACGACCATAGTCCACAACTCCTCGAATAGACTGCTGCCTCTTTCTTCTTTTTAGACGGTGCCTCTTCTGTGCCGGAATGGCACTTGGACAGCCTCATGTGTTGTTGATCTCTCATGTGGCCGGCGATAGAATTCTCTTTGTCATATGTAAACCTCATCTACCAAACCTATCTGGAAAGGGAAATTTAAAAAAAATTAACCAGGTTTCCATTCTTTATTTTCTTTTTCTTCCTATATTTTTCTAGTCTATAGTTATTGGTTTCCTAATTTTAATTTTCTTTGTTATTTTAACAATCTTCTCTTTGAAAAACTCGTTGTTTATATTAAAAAATTAGATATTTTGTCCGCACTTGCGGGCTTAATATTTCTATAAACAAATATATAGTCAATTTAAGTAAATTAAAATAAATTATTGTTCATACACTTAAAATATTTAATAATAATCTAAACAAATTCTTTCTATATATAAAATTTTTCATCATCATATAAATAATTGTCATTACACAAATTAAATGTGAATTCACAAATTTAAAATACTTAGTAATAAATTAATATCGTTTTAGACATAACAAAAATAAGTATAATAAAAATATCTTTGGTAATGTTATGGATAACACAATAAGAAATTATCTATACATAAATTCTTTGCAAATTAATGTTTCTATAATTAAATATATTAACAAATATCATTATTTTTTTAAGATTAAAAAAGACAAATATCACAAAATAAAAAATTAGATAAGGATAATTATCAAATTCATGGAATTCGTTTTTAATTAGAATTATTTATATATTAACAAATATAATTATTTTTCAAGGTTGATAAAGACTTTATAAAATAATATAATTTTTTTTAAATAAGGATAATTATCAAATACAGTAGAACCTCTATAAATTAATACTCGATAAATGAATAATTTCTATAAAATAATAAATTTCACTGGTCCCAATTTGGGCCGGTGTAAAATATGACACAAGTCGATAAAATAATAAGATAATAATATTTTTTATATTTTTTAAAATGCCATGTAAATATATAGTCCCGTTAAAATCATAAATTAATAATGTATCTATATATAGTTTTATATAAGTACAATCTAACATTATATTGTTCGTTTATATTTACAATAAAAATACTAATATATTTTGATAATATTTAGTTAAATTATATCGAAAACCACATAACAATTCTATGAAACATAAGAATATACATCAAATAAGATAATAAAATATATAAAAGTCAAATTTCTAATATTTAAATAATGTATCCCTGGCGAAAATCAAATATTTTTTTACTTTAAAAATAAAAATGGAAAAAATAGAAAAAAATCTAAATAAAGAAACTTTTGATAAATTAATATCTCTATAAATTAATAAAATTTCAAAGTTCCAACAATTATTAATATATAGAGGTTTTACTGTAAATGAAAATCGTTTTAAATTTATAATTAATTATATATTAACAAATATAATTATTTTTTAAGGTTAATAAAGACTTTATAACCCAATATAAAATAGTTTTAGATAAAGGTAAATCTAAAATCATTGAAATTCGTTTTTTACTTATGTTTAGTTATATATTGAAATGTTTAATTATTCATTAAGGGTATAAACGATATTAACCGCTCTAACTTTTAATGTGGGAGCTCCGTTGCGAAAAATCACTTCGCAAATAATAGTATAGATATGAACTTTATTCTAAATTGCCCCAAAAGTTTCTATTATGCCCCACGTATAAAAATAATTTTATTTTTATATCAATAAAATAAATTTATATCCAAATTAGTTTAGGTAATAAAAGCTTATACGTTTTTGGATTAATGAAGTATTTAGGTATTTTCACTGTGAATTTGATTATATATATAATATTTTATATAATTGTTTTCCTGCATTCATTGTCTATGTGAAGTTTATATTGATTTCCTGAATCTAATTCTGTTAAACTAGGATTTGCTAGAAACACTGCGAGAGCTTGATCTAAGAATCTATAGTGAGTAGTCAATTAACTCGTGCTTAAAGCTTGACGAGCCTCATCGATCGATACTTCAACTGAGGAATCGATCAACGTAGGCTAAAGTGAATCGATCAATATTCCTATAGAATAATCGATCGATACTGCTGTTGATCGAACATTATTGTTTGGGTCAATAGTTCTAGTCAACAGGTAAGTGAACACCCAATGAATTAGTTGTTTAGGGGTTAAACTCTTTTATACCAATGCAAACAACTCTTTAGCACCTATAGGATTATAACCTCCAATACCTAAATAAAAATCTTAAATCTAAATTCTAAAAAAAGTCTCAACCCCTCAATCATCTCAGTGATGCAACTGCTTTGCTTATTTAAGATTTATTGCTATTTACTGTCTTAAACTCATAACTACAATTTATTTTCAGTTCAACCTAGGATATTACTGATTAGATTTGATTGGTTCCCTAGTTCCTCGTGATTCGATCTCTAAGTACTACAATCTAATCTTTCATTTGAGAGAGTAAATCACTCATTATGATAATTTGAGCGATATCAAGATATCTCAAAAGGAACCCAGCTCTTGGTCTATTTTATCCTGTGGATACTGATCTTTGTCTCAATGCTTTTACTGATGCGGATTGGACAACTTGTAAGAATACAAGACGACATGTGACTGGCTTATGTGTTTTCTCGGGAAATTCCTTGATCTCTTGGAAATCTAAGAAGCAGTCGGTTGTGAGTATGGCTCTTGCGACATGTGAATTGATATGGTTGCAGCAGCTTCGAGGGATCTTCGTGTCTATGTCACCACCATTGCGAAGTTTTTTTGTGATAATAAATCGGCAATCCATATTGCTATGAACCATGTCTTTCACGAGAGGACTAAACACATCGATATTGACTGTCACACAGTCAGAGATCTGCTGAAAGCAAGGCGTTTACAAACACTTCATGTGACAATGGGTAACCAACTAGCTGATATCTTGACCAAATCTTTGCATCCGGGTCCATTCAACTCTCTTTTAAGCAGGTTCTCAGTGTCAAGTCTTTATCTTCAAGCAAACATCGAAACTAAAGATTTGAGGGGGCGTCTTAGATAGTTGGTTTATCCGGGTTCAATAATTGGTTACACAATTCGTTGGTTTACATATGATATACCAGCTTACTATATAAAGCTGTAAGTAGTTTGTATAGTTAACAATTAATGTGAATAACAAACTTTTCCTTCTCTCGAATTCTCCTCAAGCTCTCTTTCGTCATCTTCTTCCTCTTGATTTGAGCTTAGATCGATTGTTAATAAAAATATGTTTCCTTTGTCATTGTATCGGCATACTATCTTAAGTTGATGTCTAGTTTAACTGATTCTAATAAACAACGGAAAATAAATCATTTGAACTAAAAAAAATGCAATTAAGCACTGATCAGGTCAGACTCATAGTTAGAAACCGTTTTCACGATTCATTTACCTGACCTAGTAAAAGTCATAGTAATTAACAAGCATAAAACATAGAAGTTATCTAGAGGATAAAATATACATCAAGGAAGGCAAACTATTCTAAGGATTTGTATATCCTGTGTTTCGAAGTTTCTACTAAATATTATTAAACAAATAAACATACAAAAGTATATGGAAAGATTTGAAGAAATTGTCTTGCAGTTTTAATACTTCTTAAGTTGTGCAGTCAAATAAATATCTTAAATTTATTTAACAAATGGACACTTTTATTAATTTACGGTGACTCCTTCGCTTAGTTGACTTTGTAAAACAGATTAAAATAAAATTACTGCAAACAAGTGTGTATTCGTTTGCCAAAAACAATTTCGCTAGTGTTAATACTTACCCATAAAATAACTCCAACGTAAACAGTAAACTCTACTATATATATCCTCGTTTGGAACCCTCAAACACACAAATCATATCCAACCAAGAAAAAAAAGTATGAAGATCTCTTCTCAAACCCTACTATTCGTGATTCTAGCACTTGTCCTAGCTTTTGCAGTTCCTCTGAAAGCTCAAGATAGGCCACAAGACTACCTCGATGTGCACAACCGTGCTCGTGCCGCTGTTGGTGTGGCTCCGATAAGATGGCATCCAGCTGTGGCGGAATACGCTAGACAATATGCTCTGCGAAGGCGAGGAGACTGTCGTCTCACTCACTCAGACGGGCGTTACGGAGAAAACTTGGCAGGAAGCAGCCGTGATCTGTCGGGAGCTGAAGCAGTGAGGTTGTGGGTCAATGAGAGAGCAGACTACTTGTACCGTTCCAACACTTGTCGTTCCGGAAAAGCATGTGGTCACTATACTCAAGTTGTGTGGAGAAACTCGGTGTGGGTTGGATGTGCCAAAGTCAGGTGTAACAGTGGTGGAACTTTCATCATTTGCAGCTATGATCCTCCTGGTAATGTTAGGGGTCGTTGGCCTTACTAAGAATATATATATGTACGCAGATGAATAAAACATGTCCATAGAGGACGTACGTGTGTGTTTTTTTTACTTTTCAATAAATGATTACCATCTACCAGGATATGGTGATTCCTTGTGTTCGTGTGTTTATGGTTTGTATAATACTTTGTGATTGAATAATACATTTATAAATAGCTGTTTTCACACGTACAATTAGGAAGAAATACATTGCATGCGGACATGCATGGTTATGTGAGTGTATGCTCTTTTTTCTGTCTTTTAAATAGACCTCGTCAAATTTCCAGGTCAAATTTCCATATATAATACACATAAATGGATATTTTGATGTAGCATTGACAAATACTAGAACTACGGCTGTCTAGAGAATATGAGAGACCAAGTCCTCGATTGTTTATAATATTTGCTATTGCTTTTATATATAGTTTATATATTCATCTGGATCTAACTTAGAACTTTAACACATATTAACCAAAAAATGTTAGTCGTGGATGCAAATGGAAGGTGTGTTGATTGAACCGTCCCAGAAATTTCTAAAGATTTAAAGATTTTTGTTTGAGCTTAACATTAACTCAATAAGGCAATAACTCTTTATATATTGCAAGGAATCGACAAAAAGATATAACCCTAAACAAGAAGACTACTTAAGGACATTTAAAACCTGTACCGATACTCCTTAAATATACAAAATTGGCACTGCGTGCCCTCATTCACTTGACCAGTCCATGAATTGGAGGGAAGCGCGGGTGCGTCCTCCTTTGGGTTGGGCTGGTTTTCTTGACCGATTTTTATAAACCTGACATAATTTTCTAACAGTTGATTAAAATGACTTCAAAATATATTCAAATGTAAGCTAGCACAATTCTATGTCTTGCATCCAAATTTCAGTTTGATCAAATGATGGAAAGACTTTCACCGAATGTCAAACTTTTTGAGACTTGTATAGATTTTGCATTAGGCGAATATATATCTATAAATAGCATAAGAATGCTTAAAGTTAAAGCCTGCATCAAGCTGAAAAGGATTTCTAGACTGAAACCGGTTGAGGTATGCTGGTACGATATAAATTCATATGTTCATTGTTTTTATTTGTTTCCATCGTTTATCCTTTTTACTCAAATTTTGAAACAGTACAATATGTCGTAAAACATCACTAAAGCATCTGTACGTATTTAATACAACAGTATAAAACGAAAACACATGTTATTTTCTAAGCATATATAACAATATAAATTGTAAGGTATAAACCCTAACTGTATGTGCTCTAAGCATACGTAAATAAAAGAAAAGATTTCCATGTATCACACAAAGCAAGTGCAAGCCGTAGCATTGCATTTTTATTATTCCATTACAAAAGTCCACATATATATGGTACAAAGAGAACTGAACCGGAGAAACCAATCATTATTAGCTGATGATGAAGATTGGTATAACTGAACAACATAGAAACAATAATACATACATGTATGTATAACATACTTTTCGAAAAATTCAGACTTAGTAAGGCCACTGGCCCACAAAATTACCTTGAGGATCATAGTTGCACGTAATGAAGGTTTCACCATTGTCGCATCTCACTTTTGCACATCCCATCCTCACCGAGTTTTTCCACACAATCTGAGTATAGTGGCCACACTGTTTTCCCGAGGCACAGGTGTTGGAACCATAATCATAGTCAGCCTGCTCGTTCACCCACATGTTAACTGCTCCAATGCCTGACATGTCACCGCTGCTCCAGGCAATATTCTCTCCATAGGGCCCACTCGAGTGTTCCAAGGCGCAGTCACCTCTACGCTGGTTTGCGTAGTCGCGAGCATATGCAGCCACTCTCTCGTCCCACGTTAAAGGACCCACCCCAACCGCTGCTCGTGCTTGGTTGTGAGCGGCCAAAAAGTCTTGTGGGCTGTCTTGGGCTCTTAGGGGAGCAATGAAAACAAGGAAAATGGTTGTGGCTAGGACTAGGTTTTGAGATTGGTTAAAGATATTCATCTTGTTTCTTTTTGACGATTAGATTATTTGAGTTTTTGTGGAATAGAAATGAAGATTGAAGCGAGGTTATATAGTAGTAAACATGTATACTTGTTGAACGTTTTTTAGTTTTCCTAATTAATCACTTGTAATTTTGTATTGTTAACTGATTTACCACGAAATCTAAATAATTTACAAACTCGTAATTAGAAAAGTATGCGCTTTGGGTCTATTATAGTTGGCCAGACGCGCGATTAAGAATATAGTAGATTCTAACCTGTCCGAAATGGAGGAAATTATTTTGTCAAATTTTAATTTTAATATATGTTATATATAATATGTGTATATAATATTATATAAATTTTTGTGTAATATATATATTTGACATATATATAATAGGTTGAACCTCTTATTAATCTTTGTATTGAAAACACGTTATAAATGAGTTGGACATTTTTTCTCTTATGGTTCAGTTTTGTACACTTTATTTATATTAAGAGATAATCAAAAAAATTTAAAGGTGTAATTAGCTAAATTCAATTGATCTACATCGGTTAAAACTTGGTTTAATTTAAGTAGGTAGGTTGTATTTTATAGAAGACATGATATATTCTAGTAACAACTATAAAAAATCCAAATTTAAATGACAACTTTAAGTAGTAGATAAAAACCAATCCCTAAATTAATAGATTAAATATATAGTTCAGAGTAATTGGAAAATTAATATCTCTAGTTAATTTTGAATTTGAACATTTGTCACTAATTATGCATGAAATTCGTTTAAAATATACAAATAATGTGTTCTTATATCTTTGGAGATTCTGGTCCTAAACGTTATGATAACTTTTTTATGTTTACGATGTTATGGCGAGACAAATTAATAAAACTAGAAATTGACTATATATATCGAGGAGAAAACATGAAACGGTAGCATATGTTGATTTCGAATCTATTATATTAAAAGAGAAGTCATGACTCAATTCATGTGTGATATTTTAGTTTGAACCATCTTTAGAGTGTTATAAAATTTTACATAACATTATAATATCTTTTCATATCTTTAATTTTTGTTTGAAATACAAATAAATAGTTTTAAGAAAATTCTAACAAAATCTTTAGAATCCTTTCAAGATATAGTTTCAAAAATTATTTGATTAAAATTTTAATTATCATAACATATAATCAAAATTTTAATTCATTTTTAATTAATAAAAAATTGAAATTAAGTAAAATACTTTTAACAATATCCCAAAATTTTGTTTATCTATTATGTAGGTCCAACTTAATTAATTTTTACATAGATTTCAAATTTAGAAATAAAACAAAATATATAAATTAGTAATCTTACATAATAATGAAATTATTAAAAAAATACAAACTTATAAATTTTATATTAATAATATTATAAGTCACATAAAAATGATTATATATTGGATAGCATAAAGAATCAAATTATACTTATTTATTGATAAATTTTATTATATAATTTCAAATATTTTCGTATTAAAATACCCGCACGGTTGTGCGGGTCGACATCTAGTTTCTATTTATAAACAGATCGGATCTTCTGTCTGAATCGTAGTGGACAAGTGATGGGACTCATTTAGTGTCTTTTGCTAGATCCAAATCTCAACCTCAATTCGAGTGGTTCTTTTTTACTTCAAAAGTTTTTGTTTTTTTTTAATATAATTTTAAGTATTTCACACAAATCTCATAGAGATCTACAAACTAAAACTGACCACGTACAATATTAACAACGATCATTATAATATTAACAATGACCGAGTGCACATGAGTGATGAGTATGCAAGTTAGAGTACGAAGAGATCTAAACTAAGATATTAAACTAATTCATTGCTAGGAAGGAGGAAGAAGAAGAGCAAATATATTCAAAAGGGAACTAATTCATTGTTAGGGACATTTTGTTCATATTATATATCATATAGGATATGATATAATACGTCTAAACTAATCAACCCATAACTAAATATTTTCAAATGATAGTCCAGTCAAACAGGAAAGCAAATTCCACAACGAGTCCGGTTACCAGTTACCACAATATAGTTTTGTTACACATCAAAAAATGAAAGAAGCTGGTAACAGCAAGTAATCACTCAACACACAAATCATGTAGTGGTTGGGGACTCATCAAGCCTTTTGAGTGGCAAAGAAAAAAAAACTCATTTCCTCTCTCACGAGTTCGCGCCATTTATTTTCTTGTCTTCTCCGTCACGGCCGTTGGTGGTTTTGCGGAGGTGGGCGTCTGGATTCTCCGCGGTGTAGAGGTGTGATCTTCGATATCATGCGGCGGCTTTTCCATGACGATGTTCCTGCTGGCCGTTGTTTGGAGTTTTAGCGATCCTACCGCTCAAGTTCACTGGAGTTAGGTAGTCTAGTGGCAATCTTTTGAGGTTTGGTGTGTACCCACATCAGTTTTTGGTTCGATTCTCCTTGAGAACTAAACTATTATTATTTGGCTGGTCTGAAATTGGGTTTCGATCCAAGTGGTTTACATGGTGGATGATCGGTTCACCCCCTGACATTAGTCGAAAGATATTCTAAACTCGGATCAGGCAGTGTGGTAGCTAATCCACTCTATAGTACTTAGTACATTTTTTCCGGCACCGACCAGTCGGCCGATAGGGTTTATCAACAAAAAAAAGTTTTCACCGGAGTTGTTTGTCATCCCCTATGCTTGTAATATTTTCCTCTCTTTATTCTCTCCTTGTGTTTTAAAGATAAGCCCAGTCTATTTCTGTTTTTTCACTGTTTCTCAGTCATTGATGGCCAGCCGGAGGTTACTGTTCCAGTGCCTTAATTTTGGGTTAGATCTATAAATATCTTCTTTATTAAAAGAGAAGTACCAAATTTATCTACTATTTAGAAGTTATGTTGGACTATGTTATTAATTACTTTTGACATATTTGATTGTTACACTAACCAATATATATTATTTTCAAAATATCTTAATAACTAATAAGAATAATAATAAATAAATTTAAATATAACCAAATCTGTTGAAAAAATCTAACAAGATCTTACCAAAAATTTTAAATATTTTCTTTTATAAAATAAGTATTTCTTTATTTCATTATTAAATATTATTATAATTAAAACTTAAAATATAAATCATATATTAAAAAACTTTAGTTATATATTTATAAAATGAAAAATATACCCGCACGGATGTGCGGGTGAAACTCTAGTTTTTATTAATAGTTAGGAGAAATGAGGAAACTCTTAAATTAGATGTAGGTTGTTGGAGTTTCACTTCTCTGACTTTGTATCTTCTAATCTATGATGGCCAGACAATTTTATATAGCCATCACGACTATTTTTATCTAATTTGTGAGGATGGGTGTTCATTCTCATATACCTGAAATCAAATGTCTGCATATATGTCTAAATTGTTTGGCCATCATATATACATAGATCTTAAGATACAAACTACATACAAAGTCAGAGAAGTGAAACTCCAACAACTATGCATCAAATTAAAGAGTTACCTCAGCTCTCCCAAGTATTTAAAAAAAAAAAAATCGAATGATCAACATATGCTAACATTTCTTGTTTCTCCTCGAAATTTTGGCACTATTTCCTAGTTTGTTAATTTGTCTTGCCATTACAATCGTAACTTATCATCTACAACGTATATATAACCAGAATCTCCACAAACCTAAGAATACATTTATGTATATTTTTGTTTCGAATTTCATACACAACTAGGTGATAAATAGTATTCAACGAATCACCTGGAATTGCAAAGGATCATCAACACATGTTTGAATTCAAGTTTCACTAGCTATCACATGTTCTAGAGAGAGTTATGTCCAATTACTGTGAACTTCCTAATATATATTCGTAATCATTTGGCCAACTATAATAGACCGAAGGCGCATACTTTTCTAATTACTAGTTTGTAAATTATTTAGATTTCGTGGTAAATCAGTTAACAATACAAAATTACAAGTGATTAATTTGGAAAATTAAAAAACGTTCAACAAGTATACATGTTTACTACTATATAACCTCGCTTCAATCTTCATTTCTATTCCACAAAAACTCAAATAATCTACTCGTCAAAAAGAAACAAGATGAATATCTTTAACCAATCTCGAAACCTAATCCTAGCCACAACCATTTTCCTTGTTTTCATTGCTCCCCTAAGAGCCCAAGACAGCCCACAAGACTTTTTGGCCACTCACAACCAAGCACGAGCAGCGGTTGGGGTGGGTCCTTTAAGTTGGGACGAGAGAGTGGCTGCATATGCTCGCGACTATGCAGACCAGCGTAGAGGTGACTGCGCCTTGGAACACTCGAGTGGTCCCTATGGAGAGAACATCGCCTGGAGCAGTGGTGACATGTCAGGCATTGAAGCAGTTAACATGTGGGTGAACGAGCAGGCTGACTATGATTATAGTTCCAACACATGTGCCTCGGGAAAACAGTGTGGCCACTATACTCAGATTGTGTGGAAAAACTCGGTGAGGATGGGATGTGCAAAAGTGAGATGCGACAATGGTGAAACCTTCATTACTTGCAACTATGATCCTCAAGGTAACTTTGTGGGCGAGTGGCCTTACTAAGTCTGAATGTTTCGAAAAGTATGTTATATATACATGTGTGTACTATTGTTTCTATGTTGTTCAGTTATACCAATATTCGTCATCAGCTTATATTGTTTCGTCTGGGTCGACAGTCTTGTACCAAATATATGTGTGGATTTTATAATGGAATAATAAAAATGCAATGCTACGGCTTGCACTTGGTTTGTGTGATATATGAAAATATTTGTCTTGTATGTATACATACATGTGTTAGAGCACATAGTTTTATACCTTACATTTAATATTTTGTAATTAATTAGAAAATAACAATGTGTATTTCATTTTTTTTCTTCAAAATCCCTTGTATACGTGAAATATAGGAAAGTGCTCTTATTAGTGTCTTTGGATCCTTTCGTGTTCAACGGAAAGATCCTAACTAATATACTATCTTCCTTACTTCAAATTAAGATTGTTACTAAATGGAAACTATTGAAGTTTATAGTGTTGCTTTTAGAATCATTTACCTAAATATAATTAAGTTCTAGTCAAACTTACTTGAAAACGTGGCAACAACTAGGCCACAAATTATCATTTATATACAAGTAATTGTGTACATTTTCTGTAAGTAGCATCACAAACACACAAGAAACTCATCTTGTTCTCATACATACTTTACGAGACAAAGAACAAAGTCAATGAAAATGTTCGGTAAGGTCTCTATAGAATCCTTCGGCGTCGGCCTAGCCACTGTGGCTCAGGACTACGCAAACCAACTAGCAGCCGGTCCATGCAGACTCGAGCATTCGTCTGTGCCATATGGAGAGAACGTTGCAATGGGCAGTGGAGACATGTCAGCAGCTCAGGCTGTTGCTATTGGATAGATGAAAATTCGTATTATGATTAGTACTCAAACTCATGCCACGGTTCAGCTTTTGGACACTACACGCAGGTCATGTGGCGTGGCTCTGCTCGGCTCGGTTGTGGTAATGGTATGTGCGCCAATGGCGCAAGTATTATTGTGTGTAACTATGACCTTGCGGGTAATTATATTGGAACTAAACCATATTGATTTCTAACTCTTTTGATGAATGTGTAAAAAGAATGTCGTGTTACTTTTTTTTGTCTAGATTTCAATACATGAGAAAACATACTTTGTTTTACAACAAATATGGGGTTGAAATTTTTATAAATTCAAACTGTTAAGCGACTTTTATTTTGAGTACATAATCGAATGGTAATGGAGAAGCTTACAATATATGGTGGATGCTCAAACAATGTACAAAAAAATGTTTTTCTTATAGAAAAAATATGTAGAGTATGTTTTCGTGGATATTTTATGATTCTTGGTTTGGTTGACCGGTCCAATATAGATCTGATTTATTAGAAGTGTAACTCTGCATTCATCATATAATGGTTTGAGAAACTGGTTTGACCGATTTGATCTTATCCGACTCCGATACAAACGTTTTTTTTCTTTACTAAAGTATTTACAGAAATGTAAACTATTATCATTAGGCCCAGTAATCCAAATTAAGAGAACTAAATTCGAATAAGCTTATGAGTCCAAAAACAGCCTAGCTTTTAGCAACCAATGAATATGATGGTAACCAAAGACCCAGTTGAAGGGAAGTATTTTCAGTGTCTCTCAAATCAGTTTTACTTTATATTTTTAAAAGTTAAGCTTATCATATAAGACATTCAAGTTTTTGATTTTCCATGTTTTTATTTTTTATGTATTTACAATATGAACTAATTTTATTTTCTTTGGTAACAACTAAAACTAAAAATACAATAGACAAATTTTGATTTTCATCTAAGATCTTAATAATACTTACACATTGATTGTAATTTTAAAATGATAACATACTCGAACATAATACATGGGAAACTAAATTTGGTGAAAACTAAAACACATAGCAGTATTGAAAATATGTAACGTAGATTTTTTTTTTTAATTACTAAACCCTGCAAAAAAAGGAGTGTGAAGATCCAAAAAATGAACTCAAATAAGGCAAAATAAATTTTGATCTATCAAAATGCAAAACAAAAATCAATTTGGTGATCTTAGAAAAGCACTAGTGTGGACTTCCAATTAGGCGAAAGAGGGTGATGCTCATTTGGTTCTTGAGATTTAGACTTAACTAGCTTTTTGAAATATGATATCCTTCATGTTGGGAATGACAATATTATGCCAATTAATTATGTTGTATAGAACTCTGGACCTAACCTCTTTAATGCATGTCTCTTACATTCTTTAAACGATGATTTTATTGGTACATTTGTAAATTAAAACAATGTATAGTCCAACTTATCATAATAGAGATTAAAGCATGGTTAAATGGATTGAAATAGACCAAATCATTTTGTAGAGGAAAATGGTTTTTTTCCTTTTTATAAAGTTACAAGGAAAACTTATTATTGTGGAAATCATAGGCAAGCGTTTAATTTTCATTTGAACCATTGGGTGCCGTAGAGCTTCTCATAGAAATATGTAAACTTTGTCTCATTTAGTGGAATAAGAAATACTAGAATAAGACCCGCGCCATGCGCGGGATGAAGTTATTATTTTTATTATGTTCTGGAAAATGAAATAAAAGTTCGGTTTCATCTAGATTAAAGATATTCAATCTGGATATCCAGTTTCAGTATTTTGGTTATTAAATTATAACTACTATTCTAAATCCATATTTACTTCAGTTTGATTTGGTTTATATATTGGTTTTCAGTTTATTCAATTTTATACCAAAATAAATCATTATTTAGTTTGAAATCATATTATATATTATAAAAATAAATAATATGATCATATTTAGAGTCATATTGTCAAAAAGTTATTTACTAAAAAATATATTATATATTTAACTAAAAGAATTAAAAAAAGGTTTCTATGATCTAATAAAATGATCAAATCTAAAATTAATATCAAATCTCTAAATTTTGAAAATAAAAATAAATACAAAACAGAAGCATGAAATAAAAGTTTTTATATTCTTCCATATTTAGTGTTCATCAAATTAATTTGTCTTCGATTGAACACAACTCTGTTTGTTTAAAGATTAAAAAAAAATTGTAAAGAATTTCAACTAATTGTTGTCCATCAAATTTATAACTTTTACTTCAATTTAGTTTTTATTTAAAAAAAGGAAAAAGATAAAAAAAAAAAGACGAAGAAAATAAGAAGCCTTAGTTGCATTAAATTGTTAGTTAATTATATTTGAAGTGATTCAAGTGATTTACAAATCATAAGTATAGTTCAACTCATGTAACAAATAGATATACATATTTACATGTTTCAGTTTAATCGATTATAAATGAAACCATATCCAAATCTTACGGTTTTTATAAAATCACATACATTTGGTTTGTATGGTATATAAAAAAATAACCATATTATCGATTGTGTTAATATCTTTAAAAAATAGAATTTTTTTTAAAAAAAGAACTAATATATTTAAATCATTGATAACAAAAATTTTCAATGTGAAAATTTTAATACGTTTATAATTTATAAATGTTCTTGAAAATTCATTGAAATTTTTGAAATTAAAATAAGTATGTAATCTTATATGGTATATAGTTTAATCTATATATATATATTTTTATTTTTTATTATTGAATGATACTTTTTACTCATATGGTTTTAAAATCATGTGTATCTTTTTATAATAAAAATGTTAAACTATTGATCATTAATTTTTAACATAATAATCTTAATAGTTTTAGTCATTTATTCTTGTTTTTTTTAATTCAAAATATAACATATACGAAAAAAAATCTAAAGTTTAATTTTATAGCTAACTTGATTGTTTGATTTATTTTAATAATATAAAATTAAAGAAAAATGATGGAGGATATACAAATTGTTATCAAATATTTATTATTAGAAACATTAATTGTCATATATATATATTTGTCATTTATGGTAATTCCGTAGCTTTTATTTAAGGAAAGAAAATAAAATAGTAATTATATCTAGCAGGACAATCATAAATGCTTCTATCATAAATATCATATCATAAAGTTTGACCAACAAATATATCTATCGACATATAGAAATCGAATGTGGACCTACTTATTTTTCAATTGAATGTAATTGACTACCTAATTGAGTGACACGTAAGCATAGACTCTCTTTTAGTTATTACAAAATTGAGGTTACAATTTTTCAAATGTTTCTCAATTAACATATAGGGGACGTTTAGTAGTTTCAATAATTTATAATCATTTTTAAAAAACAATGACATATTTCAAAATTAAAATATTAACTTTTCAAATGTTCAAGGCAAATATCAAAATATAAGTATGTATTTTCATACGATGTATAGTTTAATTAAAATGATATTAAATATATATAAACTAAAATTATTTCTTCATATGGTCTTATAATCATTATATTTTAGTATAGAAAAAAAAATTAAAACCTTGATCTTAAAAGTTTATGTGGGACTTTTAACAGTTTTAGTAATTTATACTCATTTTGAAAAATTCGAAATACAACATACACAAAAAAAAATCTAGATTTTTATTATATGATTAATTTAATTGTGTAATTTATTTTAATAATAAAGAAATAAACAAAATGAAAAAAGTATACAAATTGTTATCAAATCTTTATTTTTAAAATCATTAATTGTCATATATATATTTTGATCACATTAGGTATTCCGTAGGTTTTATTTAAGGAAAGCATGCGAAACCATAAATATTTGATATATGTGACCAACTATAGCCTACGGAATACTATCTTGCTAGAGAATATAATTTTCAAACTATACATTATATCACATGCTTTAGAATCCGTAGAATTTGAAATAGAAGCCAAAGAGCTATGCCACGTAGGATTGAAGTTATTTTTAATTCTTACAAACTTAAGGTTACAACTTTTTAAATGATTCTCAAATAATATATAGGGGATATCTGTTAATAAAAAAGAGCCTGTTGAATAGTATTAGAAAAAAGCACATATTAGATCATCAAGTTAGTAGTTGTTCAACTAACAAATGTATATTTCTTAAGACTATTGTGCTCTTTATCCGTTCGCTAGTCTACTTTGACAACTTGAAGAATGACTCATTCACATTTAGTTTTTAAATTGCTAGAAATATTTTTCTTACAAACCATCTTAGTCGTTGACAAAAAAAAATACAAACCATCTTAGTCAGATTAATATGAAATAATCCTATACTTCAGTTTATTTTATTATTTTCAGTTTCATGATTAGAATAATTTATTTTTTATTATTATTTTAAGTTTCATGATTAGAACGAGCTATGAAAATTGAGATAAAACTGAATTAAGATTACTTAATATAGCAATAATTTGTTTGATTTTTTTTTTTTGAACAACGCAATAATTTGTTTGATATGAATATAAAAACTGTGAATAATTGGGAAATAATTCCCCAAGAATAATAAAAAAATGAGTGAATAGACAAATAGTCATCGCTTCACCCTCTTTGCGTTGTCTGGTCCTTTCCTTTGTCCTTCACACTCTTTCCTTCTACAAAGTCTCTCTCTTTGTTCCTTTACTATAAACTCTCTCTGTAGATTTATCCAAGCTCAAACTCTTTTCCCTGTCTCCTTCTCTCAGGTAAACTATCTCTCCAACTCTTATGTACTCTACAAAACTGCAACTTTCTTTACTACTGTCTCGAATCTGATTCTTTTCTTGCATTCATTCTCCTTTGTGGAGTTTATGTTCTTGTTTTTGCTTTTATATAAATTTAAACTCTTTTTAAGAAATGGGTTCTTGATTTGACTTCTAAAGATTGAAGCTTTAGTTGGTGTTTCTTTGACCATCCTACACTACAGCATGCTCTTCTTTTGTGATTTGTCTACAAATTTTAGGGGTTTTAGGTTCTCAGTTTTAATTTGTGTAACCTGGTTTAGTTGTCTTTAAACTTCTACTTACTTTGCTTCAATAAATTGGTCTTTTTACTTTTTGCATGTCACAAGTTCTGTTTTTTCACCACTAGTTCTTAGGTGGTTGCTTGTCTTATTCTATAAAAGCTGTTACCTTTTATATTGTCACAGGTTAAAAGAACTATTTGTATAGCTGTGAGAAGATTTAAGAGTATTGTTGAAGATGAAGAAACCATCAAGTAGAAGCCAAAGAGGGAGCAGAGGTATCAAAGGGAAGCATGTTGTGCAGATATGTGTTCTGCTTGGAGTTTGCATCTGGTTAATCTATCAAGTGAAGTATTCTCATGATAAGAAGAAGGAAATTTATGAGACTGATGGGGAGAAGTTGTTAGATAAGGAAGATGGGTTGGTGAAGCTTGGGAGAAAAGATCTTCTTCCTGGTTATCATAAGAATGAGAATGAAGAAGAAGAAGAGAAAGAGAGCAAAGTAGTGAATGGTACTCATGAGGAGGAGGAAGAGAAGGAAGAAGAAGAAGTAGCTGAGGAGGAAGAAGAAGATAAGAGCAAGCTAGGAGAGGAAGTAGTTGAAGAGGATGAGGAAGAAAACAAACATGAGGAAGATGATATTGATGAACAAGATCAAAGTAAAACCACTGAAGATGAAGAGACTAATCATGCAGATGAGATTGATATGACCGTTGATGAAGCGCGCGAGGAGCATTACAAGGCTGATGATGCTTCCAGTGCAGTGTCTCATGAGTCTAGTAGGATACTCAACACTGAGAAACTGAATGAAAGTTCTGATAATTCAACAGGAGGAGCTCAAGAGAACAATGGCAATGCCATTGTAAGTGAGGTAGAAGTTCAGAAGGAACCTATCTTGAAGTTTGGAGAAGCTGTGGAGAAAACAACCACAGAAGTGAAAGATGGTGACAGTGAAACATCCAGAGGTGAAACAGTTAATGGTAATTCAACAGAAGCAGTTCTTGAAGCTTCAGGGTTTCTACAGAATGAGACAAGAATCATGCAAGAACGGAGTCAAGAAGATAGTACACCGCCTTCAGGATCCTCTGAGTTACAGTCTGTCATCAAACTTGAGCAGACTGGTAATGAATCTGCTCCCAACATCACTGTTTCTGCAAACGTTACCAACATAGGTTCAATTCAAGATGAGTCCAGGAACTCGTCTTCTGTAATTGAAAACATCTCAGGATTGAACACAACTGAGGTGAAGGAGAATACAAGGTCTGAAGGTGATGATGAGACAGGTGAATATAAGGAAAGTTCAAACGTTTTCTCCACAGAGCAAACGGAGGAAGCAAATGATGATACTACTTCTGAAAGCACAATGTTGCAAGAAGAGAGAGAAGCTCTCACTGATCCACAAACTCTGCCGGATATAAGAATAGAAGGGAATGAAGAAGATGAAGAAGAAGCCATCTCAACAGAGTAAAAAAAGCTGGATAAGTTTATTGTGAATGTTTTCTCTGCTAAAATGTATTCAGTGTTTGTCTCTGTTAGTTCAAACTGTATATTAATTTTCAACTTTGGCTACTGATTTGCTTTCACTATTCTTGAGAGAAAACTTAGTTCAGTGTTTTACCAAAATCTCTACTTAATCCTCTTCTCAGTGCAATCAAAGATACAATAATGATGCTTGTGTTGGTGAGCTATTATTTGGTGTTAATGGAGAGATATTGTAGCAATATATCAAATGTTATTGTTTCATCAACCATGCTTGAACAATCTTTTTTAGCATCATCATCATCATGACAAGAGTGCCATTAAATTATTTACAAATTGTCAAACAAGTTTTAACCTCATTTTGCCTTTAAATTATTGTTTACCTGATTTAAACCGATACACTGTTTACACAGATTTAGAGAGCACTGGTGATAATACAAAAGCTACAAGCTTGGACTTGTGTGTTTATTTTAAAAACTCAGAATCACTAATCAAAAACTTGTTATCTGATAAAGCTTTCCAAAAGGGATAAGCTAATTCTGTACAAATACATAATTAGTCATTAATTATTCTTCTTTTCCCCCACTGCTCTTACATCAGTTTAATTAAAACCAAACTCTCCTTAGAAGATGAACATCTCATACACTCTCCCAAAGTTTTCATTTATAGTGTCTCTTCTTATGTTTGGCTTGCGCCAGATTCTGGAAGAAGTCTACAACTACTGGCTCATAATCTGGCATCTTTCCATAACCTGAAATAGGATTTTTCAAAGTATTCACTTCTCTGCTTCTCTGACAAAAATCATATTCAAAATACAGAAAAAGATTCAAATACAAACCAGGAAAGTAGTTGATGTCAATAACAGAAAACACATTCTTGCTCCCATGTTCTCTGATCATGTCTATGTTGAATAGCCGAAGTCCCTATCAACACAAAAGCACCAACAAATTTTAAAAACATAACAAAAAGAAACAATACTTGCAGGGGAAAAATGTGTAAATTTTTATACCAATAAGGTTCGTAGCTCTTTCACAAGAGCCTCTAAGAAAGGCTTTGGAGGCAGCTCAGCTACACTAGGGTCTAAGTCTGCGTTATCAGCTGAAGCAGCAGCAGATGAAACCCTCGGAAACTTGAAGATGCCATCAGCTTTGGCTTTGTCGCAGTTACTCACATTTGGTAGAGAGAATCGTCTGACCACTTTTATAATATCACCCACCACAAAGACCTTGAACATAACTCCACCTTCATGCACCAAAAAAAACAATGAATAAGAGATACATTCGGTATTTTAATAAAAGTGTAAGGTAAAAAAAAAAACAAATAGTTACCATGATTAACAAACTCTTGCAGGATTAAAGGAGGTTCAAGTTCTGCCAGAGAGTGTTTGTCATAAGCTAAGAACAGCTGATGTGACTTTGCAGATCCATCGATCCAAAGTGGCTTTGCAACTGAGACAAAGTTTAAATTAGTTCAGTTACATCCTTTACTTCATAATCATCATTTATATATATGAACATTTATGTTAATGTTGTTGTACCTAGTGGAAATTTAAGACCAGCTTCCACAACTCTATCAGCACTAGATGCTGAATCTTTCAAGACAACCATTTGCTTTGGAACATAAATGCTGCCTACAAGGATTTTTTTTAACAAAGCAAAGATTACTTATAGAGTAGTAAATAAAGAAAGTTTTTGAGATTTTTTATGTCAAAAGAATTATTACCACTGCAATCAGACAGATTCAAATCTGACATGCCCTGAAGCATGGATTGTCGATTATATATACGTTTTATTGCACTTGGAGGATCAAGCACAGTCACTTCAGGGTGTTTCTGCTGGTAATCCTACAAACATAATGAAGCAAACATGAGAATGTATAATTTGAGGACACAAAATTAGTCTAAGTGCAGACAAATCCTAACCTCAATAACCTCTTGCCACTCTTTTCCCAGTAACTGCAAGTGACACAATCATATATTTGATTAGGTGTCCAGCAAATAAAAGAAAAGGTTCATTTTGAAAGCATTATTAGCTCTAACCAACCTTGTGTAAAACGACATCAAATGGTCCTTGTTCAGAAAGTGGACGGTTCAAATCGATGGGGACAAAGCAAATGCCTTTTCTCCTAAAATAGACACACAAAGTAGTACTGTTAGCACTTTGTTCAAAAACTCTGCTGCAAAAATAAAAAGGATGAAAGCTGTGGTTTGATTATAAATAAGACAAAAGTATAAGACCAGACTATAAATTGAAGAGAAACCTAACTATAAAAACCTTTGTTTGGGAGATTCTAGAGCACACTATTATAAGCAGAATCAGTCATTGTTTAAAGTAAAACACCCATGTGGCTGAAGAAGATTTCCAATGCAAAACATCAAAAGTTTATTATTTTTCTGTAGAAAGTCTAAAGTCAAAACTTCAACAGAGACTAATGATCCAAAAGGAATATTCCCATAGAAACAAGGTTCCAGATACCACAAGTATACCAAGTGCAAGACTAACTAAAGGACAAAAAACATGGCAAATAACAAGACATATGTAGTGTCTATGGTCCTCCACAATAGCTATTACCAAAACAAGAGTAAGGAAACAAGAACCAAATCTAGGTAAACTGTCAAAGTCCTAATAATATCTATCCTTTTTCAAAATTTGAAAAAGAACAGTGGTCTTAGAAAAAAGACACACACACAAGTTTGGAAACTATGTAATTAACAGATAACAAAAGGTTAACACTTTGATTAACAGACAAGCATATGTGTTGTGTTATCATTACCTAGCCATGAACTCAAGCTTGGGCTGCAAGAAACTCTTCTTCTTCTTGGAAGTAAGAGCATACCCCACAACGAGTTTCTGCGTCTGCTGAAACAGAGGACGTTCAACCTGAAACGGCACCGTTTCAGTCACCACCACTTCCCCGTCTCCTCCACCTCCGTATGGCACCAAGTTCTCACCTTCCAATCTCATACCAAGATCCTCAAATCCACCGCAGGAGAACCTTGCGGTTATCCTCAAATCACGTCTCAATCTTGCGGTTTCGATATCTCCAGAAGCGAGAGTCCCAAACATTTTGTAGCTAGAGAGATGGGTAAGAAGAAAGTGAGATTCTTTTTGTGAAGATCCGACAAAGATTCTATCTTTGCTCTATACAGTTTTCACGCTGTAATAAAACGAGAAGAGAGCAAGAGAGAGAGAGAGATGCGGCGGACACTATACGTGTTCGGTCACAATGTTCAGAAGTGAGATTTGTGAGAATGTTGAGGGAGAGAGATTAGACTCAGAATCATGTATTTATAGAAGAAGAGAGATTTGCTAAAAATTGCAGAGAACAAAATAAAAAGGATATGTTTATTACAGTGAAATGGTTTGTTCGTTCGTTCCCAAATCTTTTGCTGATATTTTTTTTTATTTTAAACGTAAGACACTGTAGCTGCCAGAGTTTCTTCGAAATGATAATACTTTATTCTATTTTTAATTTTTTTTTTAAACCTTTTTTATTCGAATTCCACCTACTTTGTTGTCAATGAATTCCACGTAGTCGCAACATCTATCCATATTATAAATCAAACAAATATTTTTCATATGGTATGTGTATTAAAGTGACAAATCATATCGAAACAAATATTTTCATACAGTATACAGTATGTGTGTTAAAAGTGAAGTGACAAATCATATCATTATCCCATTTCCCCATCACACTACAATAACAATGAACCGCTTGTTTTTGATAAAAATGAATTGGCTACTGTTTTGCTGCAAAATTATAATGATATGGTGACTGATGAGAATTCCCAATTGTGTGACAACATATGGCTATAGTCTATAGACCACTATCCTGTTAACATCTTGATCGCTACGTATCACTAAGTATTTGAGATTTTATGAGTTCCCCAACTTATAATAACTAATATATATATCATCGTACTATAAGTCGTAATACTAATTAAATTTGTTATAACTCGAACCTAAGAGTATCATTAACCCAGAAACTCAGATGAATTTCTTTATTATTATTTTTTTTGTTTGATTAAAAAAAAATTAAAAATACTAGTCATAGATCACCACGTGACAATGGGTCCATGAAAAGTTTTAGAAATCCATCAAATTCGGTCATGAACTCATGGTTTTTGTACTCGTTTTTCTTGCTTTTTGTGGGTCCTTCAAATTCAGAAACCCTTCAAAATTTGTATTAATATCGCTCTAAATTAAAATCCGAAGAAGCATACAGATGATGTCTTAATTTCATCTGGAATAGTTTGAAATCGTAAATTGTTATTTGTAAAATGAAGAAACATAGTTTAAAACACAATTATTTTTTTCCATAATTTAACAATACATAAAACTTCTATAGAGAAAACTTTTTTTTATAATTTAACAATACACAAAACTTCTAGAAAAGCTTTGCCAACCTCTTTTGGTATGAATTAAGCTTTCCCCACCTGATGTTGAGTACTGTTGTTTGTTTCAGTAAGTCTATTTTTTTAAGTTTTCTATGTTTATTTGTCGCAATGAGAGATAATTAATTGTTCTTTTTATATATTATATATTTATATCGCTGACTTTTCAGTGAAAAAAGAGTTGAAAATGAGTTCCAGAGGGACTGCCATGCCCCCCTGAGCAGGTTCGAAGCCTAGAGCTGGATTTTATTAGGGTTTTTTTCTTTGATATTTGAAGATTTGGATAAGCTCGTTGTTTATATAATTGTTCGCACCCGCATGCATATTTGATAGTAATCGTACGTGCCCCACTACTAAAAAACTTTGATATCTGCCGATTTGTTTATTGGTTACACACAAAAGTTAAGAGAAAGCAGTTCATATTTTAAGATATGAAAAAGCAAATGTTGCAAAATGTCTAACAGATAACTTGAAGATCTTTTCCTGGTGAGTCAGGTCTTAGATCACATTTAATTTAAAATAATAAATTGTAAAGGTTAAGTCTATTGATTTCCAATTTATATCATATTTTAACATATATAATAAGTTGTTGATAAATGTAATTTACTTTACAGAAATATATATCTATACACAACATGGGAGGAATCGGAATATGCTCTCTCTGTTAGGCAGAAGAGTCTCATGTTTCTCTCCGTGTTTAGAAGATCAACCAAATATTAAATTTACATAATCATTGCTTCATTAGTAGTACCTAGTAAGCCTTTTTCATGTTTACAAAATAAGCTAATTTAGTTGTCATTGACAATAGTGAAATATTCATGTTCTAATATCTTGAAAAATTAATTACTATCTTATTATATAAAGCTTGGTTTTCAAAGTTACTAATTAACATGATTGTGACATGTGGCAATTACATATCTAAGATTATGACATATGTTAAATCATAATTTTCCTTTTTTTTTACTTAAATATTTAATCTAAACGAATTTATTTTTTTCTTACAATTTTCCTTCTTAAAAATACACTTAAACTAAACAAATTTAAATAATAACTTTCCTTTTTAAATACTCAAACTAAAAACGAATTTCCTTTTTTCTTACAAATTTTATTTATAAAAAATACTCAAACTAAACAAATTTATTTTTTTCTTAAAAATAATTATTTAATAGTAATTTCTCCTTTTTAAATTAAAAAAGGAATTCATAATTATCTTTTTTTTAGGATTTGTAAAAAGGAAAATTAAAATACAAAGAATATTTACTTTTTACTATTAAATTAAATTTATTTTTTTCTTAAAATAATTATTTAATAGTAATTTTTCCTTTTTAAGTTAAAAAAGGAATTCAAAATTTTTCTCGGAAATAGTTATTAATAGTGTAATTTTTACAAAATATTGTAAACAAAAAAAAACGATATTAATATTAGTATTTATTTTCCTAAGCATGGGTTTAAAATAATTACAAAGAAAAACAGTATTTTAAGTTTTATATACAAAATAAAATCTTAAAAATTATTATAAATATAATAGTATTTTAGATTTTACAAAGAGAATTCTAAAACCAAAATTTATTATAATTTTATTTTAGTTGTAGAATATTATTTGCACTACCAAATATAATATGTGTTTAAAATAATTAGAAGTCTATAAATTTATTTTAGTTGTAGTATTTATTTAAAATAAAATTATATTTGAAAAGTCAAAAAACATGGGTTAAGATAATTACAAATTCAGTAGGCATTGGTTTAAAATAAAGAATTTTCTTTAAAATTCCAAACAAAAA